ACCAGGAATGGATTACCAATTTCCAACGTTCCACATGTAGACTCCTAGATTACTAACACATTTATCAACGCCATGCTGAGCAGCTCACGTGATGCACACAGCTTCCCATCTGACCTATGAGGCATCGTTGGGTGAATGTGTTTGAAGTTCAGCAAGTCCTCTGGGAATTTTTGGCCCCTGGAATTTAAAAAAAAATAATTCAGGTCCAACCAACGAACACTTATACAGAGGCCACCTTTACATAAAGGCCACTTTATGAATGGTTGCTGAATACAGGATTGACTGTATGCCAGTTATGTACAGAGAGTTGAAAGATAGCTTATCAGTGATAGAATAAACATGCTGATGTGCGTGACTCAAAACTGAGCATTCATTCCATATATTCAGTTTGTGTGCAAGAGTTTTAACTCATGGATAAAACTCAAATCATCAATGACAGTGCAGTGAGCATTTTTTGGGCTTGAAATTAATTGCGACAAGTGGCAATTGACGCTGGATTAATAAAATTGTTCAAAATGAAACTGGATAATCACCTGAGCATAACATAACATGTAGGAGTAGGCCAATTGGCCCTTTGAGCCTGCCCCGTCATTCAATCATGGCTGATCTTCTAATCTAACTCCAGCTAATAACCTAACCCTGCCTTATCCCCATATCCCTTAATCCCTTTTGCAATAAGAAATCTATCTATCTCAGTCTTGAATATGTTCAAGGATTGAGCGTCAACAGCCCTTTGGGGTAGTGAGTTCCATACATTCACCACTCTTTGAGTGAAGAAGTTCTTCCTCAACTCAGTGTGAAAGGGCTGCCTCTGATTTTAAGGTTGTGACCCCTGGTTTTAGTTTCTCCAACCAGGGGAAACAATCTCCCACTATCTACTCTATCATGCCCTTTGATGATCTTATAGGTTTCTATAAGATCCCCTCTAAATCTTCTATATTCTAGAGGAGTTCAAAGAAATTGAGATTGGATTGTAAATGGGATTAATTTTAAAGCACAATCTAGGATAACTAGTAGTCGTGGCAAAGACATGATGGGTCGAATTGCCTCCTGTAAATTTTCTATCACTAAATCATGTCTTTTGGCTGACAAAGAACAAATTACACGTAACATTACTTACTTGTGAAGCAGTTTGAGATGCTTCATGCTATAAAATGCCATTTTTTTACATTCTTAAGGTGCTCTGCTTTCTTGCACCTTCCAGTGGCAGTGGAGTTCGGGCCTTTAGCTTCTCTGCCCCCACCATTTGGAACTCCATCTCATATTCCCTTCCTCACTCCCTCCTTTGCCTCCTTCAAGGCACGGTCTCAAGACTCTTTTCAACCCTGCCTTTGATCAACCCCTACGCCCCCTGCTCTCCACCCCACTTAACCCCAACCCCTTGCTGTGGTCCAAAATTCTGACTGTCCAACGTCTTGGGACGTCCTTCCGTTGTGAAAGGCGTTATAAAAATGCAATTTGTTGTTGTTAACTGATCTCAGCTGTGGTGATGCTGAGGCATTACAGTGTTTTCTGACCGAGGAGGGAAAAATTCCGCTGGTGTTCCTGTTACTGATTGCTATCCAGTGACCTCCTGCTGGAAAGTATGTGTGTGTGTGTGTGGGTGGTTTAATAAGATTAGGTCCAGGTGTGGTATGATGGCGCTACAGTCAAATTGCCTCCTATACTCCCTCTCCTGGCTAAACCTGTGCAGTGTGACTCGTCAGCTGCAGTCATCTCCGGGTCAGAAGCTTGTGGAATCATGCCCTATATTAGGACATTCTCTTGATCTGGCCGACAATCCTCCAGATAAATGAGTCATTCACCACTTGGCTGTTTGTGAGATTTTTCGATGCACAACTGACTGTAAAAATAGTGACTAAGATTGAAAGTAATTACCCTGTAAAGTACTTTTTCTCATCAGTCAGGTGTCTGAGACATGAAAATTTATTGCCATGCTTCAGAGCACCCAAACCATATATTCCACATATGCCTGTAGATTTATTTATCTTTGTCTAGAATGGTGTGTGTAGTCTAACCCTGGAGGGACACACCCTGCTTACCTAAATTCCAGAAAGTATTTGGCGCAGGTTGTTGTATGGTCTTTCCACCACATCAGGGAGAAAATGGAAGAATTAGGCGAACTGGCAACTTGCTTGCAGGCATTTAGCAATGCCACTCTGACATTGGCTGTTGTGAGGGAGCAAGATTTGTCAACTAAATTTTTGAATTTTCAAAATTTCTGCATCATCATCTTAAATGTTAAAATAATGGCCTTAAGTCTAAGAGTAGTCCTTGAGTAGGCCAATCTTAGGCCAATACTTTATGCACATGAAGTCAACAGGCACCAACAGGTTCACTGCTTGGATCTCCCTGTCAAAAGGGAGGGGCATTGGAATAAAATATCTGCCAAGATATAATAAACTGGTGGAACAGGCTGAATAGCCTCCTGTGTTTCTATATTCCTATGCTGTGGTCATGCCTGGATTCTGTGATAAAGAATACAATACTGGAATTGTATTTGGAAAGGGAAATTTGTTGGTCAGAGAAGGCTCCTCCTCCTATGTAAATGGTTACAAGTTTATGACTTCCTTTAGTAACCTTCACCAATCTGGAGTCAAAAAGGGCCTGTTTAGTGGGCATGCCAGCAGTATTCACAAAGTTATTACTAGAATGTGAATTTTGAGGGAAGAAGTAAAAAAACCTCATACAAATGTGTTAATTGACTCAACACATTGTAATAGAGAGAAAAATGTCTAGCTTGATTCACAAGGGTGCCCTCCGCTGGTGAAAGCTGGAATAGGTTTGGATTATTTATGTATCTTGCTCTATCAGCGATCAGTGGCGATGAGATACAGTGTATTGATCATCTTTAAAAACAATTGGTCAGCAAAATAGAGTTGCAAATCACACATTTTACATATTTTAACTTTCTCCAGTCCCCTTTCTCCTTTTTTTTGGCCAAATTTCTCCCCTACTCCTAAAAGCATTTGACTTTTTTAATCTCTCTTCCTTTCTCTGAGGTATGTAGGGGCTCAAGTTACCCAAGTGGCCATTATTCATATGAGCCTTGACTGTGAGTGTTGGCAGGTGAGCATCACAGCTGAGCCTGCTCCTGTCCTAACCTGACATCCACACCAGAGGAACTTCCAGCAGAAGTAATAATAATACTTACAATTGATGTGGCGCCTGCGATGTGAATGTTTCAAAGTCCCGCACAGGGAGTTGGTGTCATGTATAGTATCTACTTGTAGACAAATATGGCAGTCATTTTACACACAGCAAAGTGCTACAAACATTTGATAAGGTTCCACACAAAAGATTATTAGCGAAAATGGAAGTGCATGGAATTGGAGGTAACCTTATGACATGGCTTGGTAATTGGTTGAGAGGCAGGAAACAGAGAATAGGGATAAAGGGAATGTTTTCTGATTGGAGGAACGTGAAAAGTGGTGTCCCCCAGGGATCTGTACTGGAACCTCAGCTTTTTGCCTGATGTATAAATGACTTGGATGAAGGAATAGAAAGTTTTATATCCAAGTTTGCAGACAACACTAAACTAGGAGGCTCAGTAAGTTGTGTAGTTGGGAGTAGGAAGTTACAGTGATTCAGACAGATTAAGTGTTTGGCAAAGCGGTGGCAGATGGAGTTTGATGTAGGGAAGTGCGAGGTCATCACTATGGATTGGAGAAAGATAAAGCAGAATATTTTCTTAATGGGGAGAGACTAAGAACTGTGGAGGAACAAAGGGATTTGGGTACCCATATCCACAAATCACTAAAAACTAGTTCTCAGGTGCAAAAAGTAATGAAAAAGGCAAATGTAATGTTGCCCTTTATCTCAAGGGGCCTGGAATACAAAGGGGAAGAAATGATGCTTCAGCTGCAATCATTTCCCATCTGGAATATTGTATTCAGTTTTGAGCACCACACCTCAGGAAAGATATATTGGCCCAGGAAGGGGTGCAGCGCAGGTTCACTAGAATGTTATTGGGCCTTAAAAGGAAAGGCTGGATACATTTAGATTTTATTCCCTTGAGTTTAGAAGTTGAGGGGTGATTTGATTGAGATATTTAAGATGATAAAGGGATTTGATAGGGTAGATACAAAAAAGCTATTTGCTCGGTGACAGAATCCAAAACAAGATGGGCATAGTCTTAAAATTAGAACCAGACTATTAAAGAGTGAAATCAGGAAGCATTTTTTCACTCCGTGTGGTAGAAATCTGGAATTCTCTCCCCCAAAAGGCTGTGGATGCCGGATCCATCTACACCCCCAGGAGTGAGGTTGATAGGTTTTTGGTAGGTCAGGGTATCAAGGGATATGGGGAAACAGCGGGAAATTGGAATTGACAGTATTAATTGAGGTACAGATCAGCCATGATCTAATTGAATTGAGGAACAGGCTCGAAGAGCTGAATGGCCTACCCCTGTTCCTATGTAACACCTATGAATTGAATGACCAATTTATCTAAGGATTGTTGCACCTTGAGTTTCACCTGGACTGTGAGCTTAAAAGTCCCGAGGCTTGAATCCATTCCCTTCTGACCCACAGGCAAGAATGATATCTACTGAGCCAAGCTGACACCTCAGAGTTAGTGTTTGGAGATGGGAACCTTTGCTGATTTTTTCTTCCCGAACTTGAGGGTGCGAAGATCAATTGTAGCCCCAGCTGATGTCAGCCAATATTGGGCTCTGTGACTTTCCATGCTGTACTGGGCAAAAACGTTACCTACTAGACAATCATACCGCATGTCCATCTTGCCTGAGCCATACTAATTAGGCTCGTTAGTATTATGCTTTATGATTGTGCTTTCCTTGGTTGATGGTGGGAAGAAGGCTATTCAGCGCTAAGAAGGTATCTGTGGTGGAGGGGGAAATGAAAGCTCCATTTCATGGCTAAAATCAAATGAATAACTGGTGAATAGAGAAGGATTTCAAAGCTACAATAATAAAATGAAATAATAATACTTATTGAAATTAATGAAATAAATTAAAGTTTGACTTTGTTTGACTTGTTTAGCCCTGAGTCGGTGGAAGCCAGTCCTGCAGTTGCTGAGAAGAACAGCTACTCCAATCACAACTATGGGAGCGCACAACACCACGGGTACAGAGGCCTGCCGTATGCAGTGAGTACATTCATCCTATTCCACTCACCTCCTTGGTACTTGGTTGTGGTACAATCAATGTCTCCAGTCCTGGCTCTGAAGTGATTGACAGGTGCTAGGTAGTAATTCATTGCCTTTAGCCGCTTCAAGGCAGGAGCTATGTTGATCATGTGCTGTGTCTGGATTCAACATCTGAAGGTTCTTGGAACAATTAAGCGAGTAAACTGTAGTGAATTCACATTGAATTTTTCTGTAACATGGTCAGTAATCGTATAACGGCACACAGATTACACACAGCAGAGGGACAGATGTTTACTAAGAACTCTCTTTATGAAGGTATTCTGGGACAGGTTTACACTCAAAGAATAAATTCGGAAAAAACTAATCGACACCAACAAATTCAACAACTTGCAACTTGAGATGGACATCTCAAAGCATTTCACAGCAAGAAGAGGATAATTTAAGGATATGCGCCCGACATACGTTTTTAAGAGGGTTTTAAAGGCAGGAAAAGATGCAAAGTAACAAGATTATGTGGAGAGAGTTCAAAGGAGCATGGGTATGGTGACTGAAAGCTCAACTATAACAGTCATAGGGCATAAGCAAGACAGGAGAGTAGATTAGGAAGAGAATACAAGTGGGAGAATGGGTTAGAGGAGATGGCATAGTTAGGGAGGGAGAGATGGTTCGGAAGAGATTTGAGGGTAAGGCTGGGGACTTTTAAAGTACATGTAAATCCACATGGGTACTGAGAGCCATTGCTTCCTGTGACTAATATGTGGAGCCTAGTTCAGACAAAATACAAGCTGCAGAGTTTTGAATGAATACCTTTTTTAAAAGAAACTATTTACATGGTCATGGCATCAAATCTCCTAAAACAATAACGTTCCTTGTTTTCAATCTTTTAAAGTTCACAAGTAAATGATTTCTCTTATTGAGCTTGGAAGTTGTCCCTCAATATAGGTACTTGCTCTCTGCTCTTTATACAGCAAAGCTTACTTCAATGTATATTCATGCCTCATTTTAATTTTGCTGTTTGACATGGAGCAATGCATTTCTAGACCTTTACCATGTTTTGATTGTGGAAGTCTTCATATGGTCTTTACCTTCAACTCAATGTTGACTCTCGATGGAGTGAGCTTAATCTCTTGCACCCGCTGTTTTGAAATTGCATTCAAACCAAAACCTAAACTGTGCGTCAAAGAGAAGTGGGTACCTCTAAAGAATCGAGATAATTTAATACGGAGCAACACTAGAGAAACTCATTTGAAAGTAACCACAGGAGAGTTCCTTGTTTGTAAAGTATGATTGATTGTCCAAATAGTCGGCCAGTTTTCTGGCCAAAGTGGTGCTGAAATCTCATTTAATTCTGTTTTATTCTGGGTTGTAGTAAAGAGTAAAGAAGCTATTTGATTGTAAGTTACATTCAGCATTTTGCCAGCATGTTTTGACAGCTGAAACACAAACATTGGTGCTGGTTAATTCCCCCAAAGAGGTACTGTTAAAGATGTAAGTTTTCCATTACTTTTTATGCGATTAAATAATATTCTTATTAATGTTAATGCAGCTATGTAATAAAAAGGAAATGCTTGGTTGTAATCAATATACAGCCTGATAATGATCCTACCCATCATTCTCTCACAGGAGGACTAAACATTAAAAAAAACCCTCAATAGACTACAGAGTGAGACACTGGATGAGGACCGACACCAATTTCAATGCTGGTCTTTGAAGCAATGTTGTGCATTCGCCTTTGGTTAGCTACATCAAAGTATTTCTTGACAAAAAATCTCTTAAGCTGCTAACCTGCATTGGAAAACCATGTACCAGAAGCCAGCATGTGAGATTGTTATGCCTCATGAATGTTGGCACTGAGCACTGTATGGGGGTGGGTGGTGAGAGATGGGTCTTCCTTAAGCACATCTGGGTATATTCGTAATTGATGCATTTCAAATGACTAAATTGAAACTATTTTAGACCCTATTACATTTTACACTGAAAATAACATTGGAAACTGGATCCTAAACTGTTCAAAGGATATATGCCTTATAAAGGCATCCGCTTTAGGTCCAATGGTAATTTGAACGGGTCCCAAGTGTAGACGTTTGTTCATGGCTGTCGTGCTTCTCAGGAATCAGGAGGCTGCAGAAAGGTGGTTAAACTCTGAAATGGCCATTAAAAACTGAAATCCAGCTCCCCCTAGTGGCATAGTGGGTAAAATCACCATCTATTGTATCACGGTTAAGTTCTTTCAGACCAGATCATCTCAGATGGTTGCCCTATCAGTACTAATAAACAACAAATACTCCTTGCAGTGCTGGTTTAGGCTTATCATAGTACTCAGAGCAGCTTGGTTTCATTGGGGGTAGCAGTTAGGGTAACAATTGAATTTAATTCCTGATTTCTGTCAGAGACTCCTACGGGAAGGGAAGATATTGGTGTGGACTCAGACGGGGACAGGATTGGGCTTGAATAGCAGGTTAAATGATCTGCCAATTCAGCTCACACATTTAACAAAAATAGTCACCATACCCCAGCAGGAGGGTCTGGTCTCATATGAGCCTCCCACTTGTAGACAGATCACAAAGTCTTGTAGTGTATCAGTATTCCAACTAAACTGCAGTCAGTCGCACAAGCTGGCTTCTGTTACATGGCTTCCTAATGCAGCACTTACAAATGACCATTACTTTGCATTATCTGCACCCAACAACTACTTTTTACTGCTGTCATCCACTTGGACTTGTATCTGGGTGATGTGGAGGTATTGTGGACTACTCTCATCTTCCCCTGCCTCTTGTTAAAAAAAAAAAAATTTTTTCATTGGATCAACTGGAACATGGAGAAGAACAACACTTCTTTGTGTATTTCCATCTTGCCTGTCAAGTAGGAATTCATTCTAACACGGTTGTATGGTGAGTTTCCTTCAGGGCTTATTTGTTAATCAGTTGGTGTTAAATGAAACCAAGATGCTCTGAGTACGATGATAGGCCCAAACCACCACTGCAAGGAGTATTTATTGTTTATTATTGTATCCCTTCAATTAGTCCCACCATCTCCCTTATTTTCTGCAAGATAAAAGGAATCATTCCTTCATGTCTATTGTGCGGTATTGATATCTTGCTGATATTTTTCTTGATATGTAGAAGCCTTCTGGAACAATAGCAGTAATAATAATCCTTACATTTCATATAGCACATTGTAACATCATTGAGACGTCTCAAAGCTTCACAGGATAAAGTGTAAAGTGGATTGACTGTTTTGTGCGCGAATACTAAAGCAAGTCAGCTCACATCTCTGGAGGGAATAGAAATTCATATGTATTTTTGGGAGCCATCAATGAATGTGTGTACTTTCCATGTTTGTGTTTACAAGTTTTTTGAAATTTCCTGTATAAAAATTTGCAACATTACTCCAGAAGCTTCTTAGCACACTGTGGAACACTTACACTGTCACCCATTAGCTTTTTGGGAAAGAGACACAGTCTTGTTCACATGGGATTACAAACAGAAAAGTTCAGCGCCGAAGAGTTGTCTTCTTGTCAGTGTTTGTCAAGTGAAGTTTAGTTTCGTGCTTGTATCAAATTTATTTATGAAGCAGTATAACTAACAACAACTTACATTTAGATAGTGACCTTCACGCAGGGTAGCTTCACAGACCGCTTGATACCTACTTGTGTGTAGTTTTGTCAAAATCATTCAGAACTTGGTCCTCTCCCACACCAAGCTCCGTAACCCGTAACCGGCACCACTGGAGACATCCGGTTCGACCCCAAGTTGTCCTTCCTTCCCCACATCCTGACCAAGAGCACGTTCCTTCACCTCCGCCACATTGCCTGCCTCCAACCGTACCTTACCACAAATGCAGCCGAAACCCTTGTGCATGCGTTTGTGACCTCCCGCTTGGATTACTCAAACGCACTTCTCGCAGGTATACCCAGCTCCACTATTGACAAGATCCAGCTCATTCAAAACTCTGCTGCCCACATACTGACCCGGACCAAACTCCATACTCCCATCTCACCAGTTCTGGCCAGGCTCCACTGGCTCCCCATCACCGAACGGATCGACTTCAAATCCTCACACTAGTGTTCAAATCACGTCACTCCCTGGCACCTCCCTACCTCTCTAACCACCTCACTCCTCAATCCACAACCCGGCGCCTCCACTTGACTGGCACCGTCCTCCTGCTTGTCCCTTGCGCCCTGCACTCTACCATTGTAAGTTGCGCATTCAGCCACTACCACCCCGAAACTCTGGAACACTTTCTCTCAATTCATCCGCCTTGCCCCCTCTCCCCTTTTTCCAAGTCCTGCCTGAAAACCTTCCTTTTGGACTGTGCTTACGTTCACCTGCCCCCTCCCCCCGGGCTCGGAGTCACGCTCTGCCACTGTTCAGCGCTCTGAGACGTTATCCTGCGTGGAGGACGCTATATATGTGAGTTGTTGTTATTGGTAGAATGAGTGGAGGTGTTTAAAAGTGGGTAGTTGGGGACTTAGGGATATTAAAGATTATCTGAAAAAAGCTGACAAACTAGGCAAACTGATGTAATAAAATGGTAGAAAAGGCTTGATGGCCCAAATAGCTACACTTATTCATGTGTTTCTGTGTAGTAAATCTTAATTTGATAATCTTAAAGATATTGATTCAGTGCGAGGATTCTTTATATGGCCTCATTTGATCTTGTAATCTTTCCCTTCAGTGAAATGCTTGAGTTCCACTCAACACCTCTCCCAATGCCATATCTGAATTTGGCAATTCAATGAGTAGTACATTGGTTCTTTGTGGCTCTTTCATTATGAGAAAGTGAGATTGCTGCTCTTTGCAAAGTCATTTGCAGATTGTTTGGCCCATTGTACTTATATCTAATCTAAAGCCATGCAGTAAACAGCATTGTTTTTCAAATTTGAATTTCTTATCGCTGGAATGAAAAGACAGTTGTTCCTAACGACTTTCTCAGTGTTTCTAGGCCATTTTTATCTTGCTCATCTTGAATTGCAAGGCATTGCTGCACTCTGAAGTTTATATTACTGCTGCAGGGTGTTTGCAGCAAATAAAATGTGCACAAAGTAAACTAGCTGGTGTCATTGTCATGACCATTTATTGTCATACCCCATGGATCATGATGATGTGAGAACCATTCTTAGAAATTTATTTTTTCAATCTCCACTACCAAAATATGGAGGGGCGGTGAATGAAAGATCTGTGTGAATAAGTATCAGATGACTTTGCTCGAGGCTGCAGTGCGTTTCCACTATCATAAAGGTACCAGAGCATTGTGGTTACCAAAGGCACATGCATAAATCTGCCTTTGCAGTTGCACATAATATCATTGGGTTTGGTTGCTCCAATGCTGACCCTTTTCATTATAGTGTTGGAGGCAATGGAAGATCCAACTCCACATACAGGTACCCAAATTTGGTACACCTGGTTTTCATTACAAGTACTTTCCAGAAACGGGCTTGCATCAGGAAGTTGAGCTACACCACTAATTTCATGTCCTCAAAACTCTTTTTACTTTGTTCTCAGGACCACAACTATGGTGCCCCACCACCTCCAACACCCCCAGCTTCACCACCTCCACAGACCATCATCGCCCGTGTGGAGTTGAACCGACTGCGTTGCCAGAGATACGATGAGAATTCTGAGGATAGTGACAGTTCATCTGAGGATGAGAACATTCCATGGTGTCATTGTAGCTTAACTCAGGATGGATTTATTATTGCTTGTGAGAACTGCAGGTACAAAATGGGACCAGCAATGTTTTTCTGTTGTGTATTTTTGGGTTGATATAAAATGATTAGGAATGTAGTTGCACACCATAAACCTTCAGGTTTTAGACTCCCCAAGCTGATTGGTCTACAAGAAGGGCTTCTGGCCTGAATCCTTATTTGGATATCTGCTAAATAACAACAACAATATTATATTTGTATAGCGCCTTTCACATCGAGAGCACGTCCCAACAACAACAGCAACAACTTGCATTTATATAGCGCCCTTCATGTGGGGTAGTGACCTGGAGTGCTTGACAGTGGCGGCTTCTGACCCTGAGCTAGGGGGAGAAGGAGCAGGGAGGTGACCATAAACACAATCAAAAAAGGTCTTTAGGCAGGACTTGAAAGTGGAAGGGGGGGGGGGGGGGGTGCAAGGTGGAGGGATTGAGGGAAAGGGCTCCAGAGCTTCAGGATGTAATGGCTGATAGCAGAGGGGGTGAAGGACAAACAGGAGGCCGGAGCCGGCAGTGGGTGGTAGAGTGGGATGCAAGAAAATCGGATAGGTTGGGAGGTGCGAGGGCCTGAAGGAATTTGAAAACAAGTGAGCGAATCTTGAAGTTGATCTGTTTGGCAATTGGGAGCCAGTGCAGCCTGGCAAGAATTGGTGTGATGGGGGTCTGGAGTTTTATGCGGGTTCTGAATTAATTGAATGGTGGAGCTGAGAAGACTAGCGATAATAATAATAATCCTTGCGTTTGGTATAGCATCTTATCACGTTGGAAGGACATCTCAAATCGCTTTACAGGAATTGCTGTGAAGTGCAGTGACTGTATTTGTAGACAGACATGGCAGCATAATTTCATACCCCCTCTCCACCTAACTGATATTTAAATGAAAAAATGAACAGCATTTAATTGTTGCATTTTAAGTGTTGAACTTTCTTTTTACTGGCAATATACCTTTAAATATCTGAATGGCATGCTCTAATCCTGTGAGTGGAACTGAATTAATGCTGTTTTTTTAATTCCTAGGCTAATACTCTGGTCATCAGTAACTCATTGTGTCGTAATCTGTGCTGATATTTACAGGAGACTAGACAGGCGGAAGGTCATCAGACTCCAGCGCAGGAAGCAAGAGAATGTGTCTGGTAAGAAAACTAGTGATGGTTGACATTTCCTTGTGTATTTCACATTAGTTTTGGTGGTGTGAGCTGTCTTTCACTCCCCTTTGTTTAATCTGTTATGATTGTATTTGTAGTAAAACAGCAATTGCTGATGACCTCATTGTTACTGAGCTCCACAGAATAAGGAACCTTTATTAACGTCTTGAGTATCATTAACCCAGGATACATCTGCTATAATGTCATTTTAATTGGCTGTTTACCTTTGCTCCTCAACTTAGTACTTTAAAGCAGTACTTGGGGGAGTTATGTCTGTCAGAGCTACCCTTCTTTGGATGACTTGTTAAACAGAAGGTCTGTCTTGCCTGTTAAGTTGGATGTTAAAGATCCCTTGATGCTATTTGAAAAGAGAAGAAAGTTTATCCCAACATCCTGGCCCACGATCACCCAGATAAAAATTTGGAAGTTCCTGTCATGGGTCTGTGAATTGGCTGCTATTTTTGCCTACACATATAGTTGTTGACTTCATAAAAACTTTGATGTTTCAACAGGAAAATATACTATATTAGAAGCTATTATTATTATAACCTTGTAAATAAGAGCCCTGATTTCAAGTTTGTTTCAGAGTAATTCAAAATCAATTTAGCACTGTCCTGATAGATACTGATAGTTACAGTCAATTCACTTTACAGTATATTCTGTGAAGCGCTTTGGGACGTCTAGAAGACGTGAAAAGCGCTATATCAAATGCAAGGATTATTATTATTCTAGCATCCATTTGCTCATGATCACTTACAATAATAAATGGCAGTCCTTCAGTTTGAATCTCACGTACTTTAACACAAGAAACACACTGGCCTTTTGAGTAATGTGTCACACTTGTTAAAACAGACAGATTGTTGCAACCAACTTGTCTTGTCTGTCAAGAAGAATTGTATGTGCTTTAAAGGTTAGCGTGGAAATCCTCTTGAGTTCCAAGGCTGTTCTAGTTCAATGGAGATTCATTCTCCTGATTTATAATGGTGCCTGAGCCCCATGAAGGATTTAACAGCAGGTCACACACTGCACATAGTATCTTATTCTCTTATCAAATGTCCCAAATTGGGTATTGATCTACTTTTTGTGCATAGAATTTTTGGAGAGCTAATTTAATGTGTGTTCTAAGTATTTTGAAACAAATTGTTTCATTGAGCAGGAATCCACCTCTGAAACTATAGCAAGAACATGTGGACTAGCCTTGTTATTGTCAGAATTTGATTATCAGTTGTAATGAACTCCTTTGAACATGGTCAGTGATAGGCTCAGACAATAGAAAAGTGTGGCCATAATTCTTCGGCAGAATCCGTCACAAACAATCTCCTCCGCTACAAACACCCAACCAGGCTACAAACATGTAGCACAGTGTGTTCATCCCTGAACCTCTGCTGTCGGTTGTTTACGCCACTACTGCGGGCAAAGCGGCTTCAGTCACCCTGAGACCCCACTATTGAGATTGTCTCCGTGTCTATCTCCTCTGTGTGTGTCTGTGAGTGTCTCCATGTATGTATATCTGTCTGTGTGTCTCCTCTGTATGTATGTGTCTGTTTGGGAGTGTGTGTTTCGCTGTGTCTGTAAATGTGTGTCTTTCTGTGTCTGAGCATGTATCTTTCTGAGTGTCTGAGTGTGTCTCCATCTGTGAGTATGTCTGATTGTGTGCGAGTCTCTCTGTGTCTGAATGCGTTTCTCTCTGTGTCTGTGAGTGTGGGTCTCCCTCTCTGTGTCTGTGAGTGTGTGGGTCTCCCTCTCTGTGTCTGTGAGTGTGTGGGTCTCCCTCTCTGTGTCTGTGAGTGTGTGGGTCTCCCTCTCTGTGTCTGTGAGTGTGTGGGTCTCCCTCTCTGTGTCTGTGAGTGTGTGGGTCTCCCTCTCTGTGTCTGTGAGTGTGTGGGTCTCCCTCTTTGTGTCTGTGAGTGTGTGGGTCTCCCTCTCTGTGTCTGTGAGTGTGTGGGTCTTCTTACTCTACATGCCTCTGTTTACCTAGTAGTAAATAGGATAATACCTACTGGCTGGGTTAATATAATTCCTCCAAAATAAAAATAATTTGGTCACTCCATCCACAGCTGTTTGTGGGACACTGCTGTGAGCAATTGGCTGCCGAGGTTCGCCCACAAAATATACAGTAAATTCACTTTATAGTATATTCTGTGAAGTGCTTTGAGACATCTCGAAGATGTGATAATGCGCTATAATCAATGCAAGGATTATTATAATTATGTTATTTCTTCATGTTTAGTTATTATCAATAAAATGAAGAAAATGTAAGTTGGCAGTAAAATGTACCTTTCCATCAACTTCCAGCAATTTCCCCCAAAATTTGTAAAACTTTCTCTTCAGCTCCCCCGTGCAAGATGTCCCACAAATTTTTGGGCAGATATTTCCGCAATTTTCTACTGGCCTTGGTGGAATAATCAATGATTAGAGTGAGCCCGGTCTGTTGTCCCTTTATGATGAGGTGTACAATGACATCTGGAGGTGGAGAACTGCAAACAATTCTAAATGATCTGTAAGTGGCAATGATGGTCAGAGGGGAGAATTCGAAGTGTGCATGTGTGTCTCGAATATTGTGGAATGTGCAAAAAATCTTTTTTAAGTTACATGCTTCAGCAGTGCTCTAATTCATTAGCTGGCAAACTCATAATCAAGATGCACTGAAAAGTGTGCAGTGCTGAGGTACATTGTGATACAGCTACATTGAACAGTTCAGAATTCTTGTTTAACACGCTCCTCCGAATCAACAATTCATACAGGTGGAGAGAGCAGTGCAACTGAGAGTGGTGATGAAGAGGTGTCGCCGTCAACAGTGTCATACACCGCAACACAACACACGCCCACCAGCATCACTCTCACAGTCAACCGAGTGAAGAGAACCAAGGCCAAGAAGAGGAAGAGAAGCACAGAGAAAGCACGAAACGCTCCAAAAGCCAAAAAAATAAAGGTAGCTACTTGAGAACAAACGGCTACAACTTAAGAACGAGAATTCAGTTTTACTATGGGTCTAAAAATACTTCCTGCTCCAATTTCCTAGAGTTATAAAATTGTGGAATCTTACAGCACAGAAGAAGTTTATTCTGCTCAGGTCTGAGCTGGACCTCTTCTCCACATGAGCCGTCTGATCTAATGCCTCACTCGTGATGATCGCATCATCCATGATTACGAACAGAATCCTGAGGTTTATGTCATTGTCACCTACTTGTTTAAAATGTGTTTGCAATTCCCTAATGATTAGCTTGGTGGTATTTCACTCTTGCATGCCTCACTAGTGTAAGAAAAACTGGCAAATATTGGTGGATATCTAAGTGGAGGAAAATGGATTAAAACTAAATAAATATCCGTTGACGGTTGAATAGAATTGGAATAGGAACAGAGCCTACAAGGAATAAAGATGGGGAAGGGCAACTTTTTAAAAAATCATCAGTTTAGCATTGAGGAGCAAACCAGCAAGGCAAGGGTGATTTGGAGATTTTGGACTCATGTTATGAAGAGAGGATCACAGAATTTTCATTGGAAAAAGATTATAGAGGGCTGGTGGTGTGGGGAGGGGACAGAGCTGATCAGGTCTTAAAAATGCTGAGGCCAAGTCACGCAGGCTGTTTTTCATAACACAGAATAATAGAATGATATCTGCTGGGAAGTGGTATAGGAGGATCCAGCGGCAGATAAACCTGGGACACAATGGAGGGGGGAAGAGAGGGAAGACTAGTGAGAATAGATAAATGTTGTGCAATCTGTGTTACTTTTGGAGTTGAATAGTGATGCCACGCTTAACGCCAGTCAGTAGTGAGTGCGATGGAATCCACAGAGGATAGGTTTTCTGTGCTTTGTTGAATGAGCAGGTCTTGATTTCTTAAATGATGCTTTTCTTGTGTTCTTGTAAAGCCATTGAGTTGAAGAGGCAGGAGTGAGCAGATGCTCTTGTGGGGATGTGGCTGGATTAATGATTTTGCTCAGGAAATCCATAGCAGAGCAGATTACTCTTGTGATGCTGATAATGCATTGGAGAACAAGCTGAGTGTTAACACTTCATATATGTTGCCGTTGAGACCCCCTGTTTTGAGGCCACTGTGAACCCTTAAACAACAAAATTACACCACTCTCAGTTGCTCCTTTATTAATAATAATACTTGCATTTGGTATAGCGCCTTATCACGTTGTCGAGACATCTCAAAGTGTTTCACTGTAAAGTGGATTGACTGTATACTTTGTGGGTGAAACCTGGCAGCCAATTGCGCATAGCAGTGTCCCACAAACAGTAATGGAGGGAGTGACCAATTTTCTTCATTTTATTTATGTACTTTCTACCTGCTTGTTATGTGTCCCTTTTCCTCTCCACTCCCCCATCAGTGCTTCAACCTTCAGATTCTATGCCCCTGTGGAACTCCGTCCCTTTGCCCCTCTCTCCTGCCCCTCTCTTTGTGTTTTAAATCTCACCTTAAAGCCTTTGTCATTGGACTTGCCTATGGCCACCTTCCTCTATCCCTTAGGCATTTCTGCACTGTTGGAGAGTTCCAGTTTTTTGGATGAGATGTTAAGCCTATCTACCTTTTCAGGTTGATATTAACAATTTGATAACAAAATTCAAAAAGAGAATGAAAATTATCTTGGCCAACATACCTTCAGGGCATTCACCTCTTGGCTGTTTGTTTAACATTCTGTGGTGTAAATTGCTGCCATGTTTGCCTGTATACAGTTTCTCCATTTGACAGCATTTTTCCATTTGTACATTTTGAGATGCTTTAATCAAATAAAAGGATTATTAGTTAAAACTCTGCCACTATTTTACTCTGTTTGGCCAGTAATGCCCCGTTGCACATATAAAATATTTGCACATGTGTCTGCATCAGATTGGGATTGTGTTCTCACAAGAATACACTATTTATGGTACTTTTTGCACCATTTATTGTTGCACTTTAATGTATTACTGAATGGTCATTGCAAATCTCATTCAATTTTATTTATGTTCAGTACTATGAGATGCTGCTATGTGGAGCGAATACCTCTAAGTAATCGCAAGAACAGTTTTATGCCCGTCAGTCCTTGTTTATTTTTTATTTAAACATTCAGTCAGAAATAAATTCTTAAAATTGTATACTCTAACTTTGTTTATGCATGTCCCATGTAAAGCTCTTTGTCAATTGAAGAGCTCCAATCTTGGTTAGATGAACACCCAATTAAAAGGATCAATGGATTTAAGAGGAAAGTTGATGCATACAGGAAAGAGAAGGGAGTAGGAGGATTAGAGGCTTGTGTAGAGTATACAATATAATATGGCGGGAGCCGAGCGAGGTGGGGAGGTAAATGCCAGCATGATCTAGTTGGTTGGAATTCCTCTTTCCAGGCATCAGCAAGTAGGAAGGTCTTCAGGTGCGACCTGAAGATGGGGAAGGAAGGGGCAAGATGGAGGGATAGAGGAAAAGTGTTCCAGAGTTTCAGGCGGTAGTAGCTGAAAGCGTGTCAGTCTATATATGTGGAAACAATGGTTGCTGAGATGATCCCTTGACTTTGCACTCCGATCAACCACTGAATCGCTGTCTGGAAATCACCCCCAAATCACTTTGCATTGAGTCTTCATTCCCTGCCTTCAGAGCTTCTCAAAAACTCTTTGGTCAATACCCTCAAACTATTCTTCCCTCCCTTCTCCCCCAGTGTCATTATGAGGTGCCTCAGGATGTTCAGGGATTATTAACTGATGTATGTGGGGAAAAAAAGTAACTTATGAATTTTTTTCTACCCACAGGCCTTTCGAGAAGGCTCCAGGCGGTCCATGAGGATGAAGGTGTGTATGGAGACTTGCAGCATTTCACTTTTCCATCTAGATTTAAAAACATCTATTATCTGAGTAAACCATGCAGTGATTTACGTTTCTGTGATTCAAAGGTAAATCCCCAATGGACCAATTCACTTCCAGCCCCTTCTCAATATAGAATTCTTTATTTCCAACTTGTTGTTTAAATGGACAACAGAACTCAGTTATAATGACCTGTGCTGACCCAGAAATCATCCGTTCTTTAACTCAGGAACCTGACCTGCCTTCTGCACAACAAAAACAACTTGGATTTATATAGCACCCCTCATGCAGGGCAGCTTCCCAGAGTGTTTGACAGTGGTGGAGCACGATGCTGAGCCAAGGGGAGGGGGTGGTGAGCATGGGCAAATGGGTAGGTCTTCAGGCCTGACCTGAAGATGGGGAAGGAAGCGGCAAGCCAGAGGAATAGAGGAAGAGTGTTCGAGTTTCAGGGAGTAGTGGCTGAAAGTGTGACAACCAATGGTAGAACAAAGGGCACGAGGGACATCCAGAAGGCCGGAGTCAGTCGAGTGGAGGCAGCCGGTTGGTGGGATAAGCAGGTCGGCGAAGTATGGAGGTTCCAGGGCATACAGGGATTTGAAAATGAGTGTGAAGATCCTGAAATCGATAGGAATCTTGAAATCGATCTTGAAACCGATAGCAATAGGGAGCCAGTGAAGCTGGCTAGAACTGGTATGATGGGGATACGGACTTAGTGCGGGTGAGTATGAGAGCGGTGGAGTTCTGGATCAGCTGGATCCTGTGTATGGTGGAGCTGGGGAGATCGACAAAGAGGCCATTTGTAAAGTCGAGTCAAATGCATTTGTGCACACTGACAGCACCAGTCATGTCAGCATGACAGAGAATCATGCTACATGCAGGTTGGAATTTTATGCAAACACCCGCACACAGCCCTCCCCATCCACACACAGCCCTCCCACCCGCGCGCAGCACCCCCCCCCCAATAAGGTGATATGCAATGTTCTTCCTGGGTCACTCTTTATCTTGCTATATGGGGTTTGTGGGACACTTCTGGGCTCTGTTCTTGTCTTATTTCCATGAGTAAGTTCACCAAACAGTGTTGGACATGCGAGTTTGAGTGACAGTTTTAGCAATTCCTGCACAGTGTTACCAGCTAACTATTAAAGCAATTAATCCATGTAAATTCACTGTGGTTAATTTCATAGTTTCACAATACAGATTCAAACAGGAGTGTGTAAAACTTTGGCACACCTGCAGACATGGACTCCCAAGGATTAAAGTTTGTCAGGAAGATTTGTATTTGTGACATTTCTTAATCCCATCTATGTAATCCCACCGCGTAGATGAAAATAAGTGGATTTATTGGAGCAACTATATGGTTCTGTGATCCATTGTGCAGCTGAAATTATTTCCTAAAGGAACTGGAGAACATTATCAAATGAAACCATTTATTTTGTTGTGAGATTATTTTATTGACTTCCAGAGGTGTTTTTATTTCCCTCCTCCATAAAATTGAAGGAGGGGTGCGGGGTTACTGAATCCAAATGCCCAAATCCTAATTGGGAGAATAGAATCTGATTTTTCCTGGGGGCCAGGCTGTGATGACCCCCATGGTTGATCGACTATCTGACGAGGCTTACACATGAAGAAGAGATAGATGGTTAAGCCAATGCTGATCTTTTCCCAGTGAACCTCGCAAAGCCAGTCAGGAACCTCGGCGTTTTGTTCGACCCTGAGCTGTCCTTTCTCCCTCACATCCGCACCACAACTGGCACCGCCTTCCATCACCTCCGGAATATCGCCAGATTACGGCACTACCTCACCCCTCACGCCGCTGAAACCCTGGTTCACGCCTTTGTCACCTCAAGGCTGGACTATGGGAACTCTCTCCTCGCCGGCCTTCCCGCCACCTCCCTCCACAAGCTGCAGGTCATTCAGAACTCTGCAGCTCGTGTACTGTCCCGCACCAGGCTTCGGGACCACATCACTCCCACCCTCACTCGCCTCCACTGGCTCCCCATCCCCCAGAGGATCGAATTCAAGATCCTCATCCTCACCTACAAGGCCATTCACGGCCTTGCTCCCTCCTACCTCTCCAACCTACTATCCCCCTACCTACCTGCCCGTACCCTCCGTTCCTCTGGCTCCGGTCTGCTCCACGTCCCCCGCCCCAACCGCCCTACTATCGGTGGTCGGCCTTCAGCCTCTCAGCCCCCAGGCTCTGGAACTCCATCCCCCAGTGCCTTCGCCTTGCTTCCTCCCTTTCCTCCTTCAAGGCCGGTCTCAAAACCTTTCTCTTTGACCGTGCCTTCAGCTCCCCTCTCGACTCTCTTCCTCCTCCTCGCTCCCTCCCTTCCCTCCCCTCACCCTGACCATTTCCCCCCTCCTCTCTCCCTCCCTTCCCTCCCCTCACCCTGACCATTTCCCCCCTGCTCGGGTCATGACCCAACTGTGCAGCGCCTTGGGACGTCCTCCTGACGTGAAAGGCGCTCTATAAATGGAATCTTGTTGTTGTTGTTGAACAATCCCCCTGTTGGATAGGCAAACCTAACATAAGCTTGCAGTAAACTTTTTTACTACTGTTTACATTCAGAATTCCCTGTCAGAAGCTCATGCATTGGATGAAAACACAGCCGAAGGCTGGGAAAACCGAATCCGCCTCTGGACAGACCAGTATGAGGAAGCATTTGCCAACCAGTACAGTGCAGACGTGCAGAATCTGCTGGAGCTACATCGGTTGACCGTGAAGGATTCAGTGGGGAAGAATGCAGTGCTGGATACCATCAATAAAACCGAACTTGCCTGTAACAACACCATTCTTGGCTCTCAGATGCAGGTCAGGATAAGTGTTTTTCATTTTAAGCTGTGAATCAGTTCCTTGTATTTCAAACAAAAATTAACTTGACCTCCCACTGATCACCATGTGTGCAATAGCACTGCACCATACCCAGTGTATGCTGAGGGCAGCAGTCAACATTACCCTTGGGTTAGGAAAGAGGAAACCCAGTCAGCCTGATCATTATGCAGATGTGTGTATGTGGACATCTGTGGGCTGCACTTCTGGTCATTATGTATAGCAGGATTGTGGGTGGCGCATGCTAAATGGACTTCCCTCATTATAAATGTTTATTGTCCCAAGTCGCTGCCGGACAGCAGCTGGAATTTTTTGCGCATCCAAATAAAGGCATCCCTAAATAATGTTCAGGATCAACAACCCTTGTTTTTTCCCGCGGGCCAGGTTGTGATGGTAGATCGATTCTCTGATGAGGCTTATAATTGAAGAGTATATACGTGGTCCAACCCTGATCCTTACCCAGTCTTCGTGTGTCGGGAGTTTGGGGAGGCATGAGGCTACATTTGTTCGGGAATGTGAAAGAAGTGAAAATTGGAGATGAAAAGAAGAATCCATTTTTATTTACCAAATTGCATACTCTATTGGATGAAAGACAAGCCCTACAGTTGCTTTGCTGATGCTGTGACCTGTTAACCAAACAGTTTGTTTTCTTCTTACAGCTGCAGCTCGGTAAAGTCACTCGAGTTCAGAGACATCGTAAGATCTTGCGCGCGGCCAGAGATCTGACACCAGACATGCTTATTATTGAATACCGTGGTAAAGTAATGTTGAGGCAGCAGTTTGAAGTCAATGGACATTTCTTTAAGAGGTACAGTGAAGCGTTGGTGGGTCGTGGTACTGCATTAATGGGGGAGGGGGTTCTCTCATTGATATTCAGAACTAGTGGTTTGTAGAAATATTCCAGGAAATTCCCAATGAGGATGCGCTGAATAAGTTAAGGCCAATTTTCACCTAAAGATAATTCAGCACTGTAAATTAATTGGGGGTGGGGCGAGGAGGGGCAAGGTAGGAAGAGAAATTTATAAATAAAGATACAGAGGAGTGAGATTGAAATGCGCTGCTCCTCTTCTTTTCACCTCCCTGTGTGGGAGACGATGCAATCATGTGTCTGTTTGAAATCAGAGCCTTACACAAAATCCTATCCTGTTGTGACCTCTTGAGGTCTTCAAACATCTTCCTCACTTCCAGGTAGGTCATTTGGGCAGGGATGTGATCCCAACCCATGTTTACCGTCTTGTTCTCGGCCAGCTTGTGCTTTCAGCATCTCCAAATCGTGAGCACAATCTTGGCAAGAGCAAGCTGTCCCTCCTATCTCAGCCTTGTCCTCCTTCTGAATGTTCCAGCTGGTGTCACTCCTCTTGCTGACATTATTGTGTGCACCAGGCTTTTCTGAGAGGAGGCATTTGTGCTTATTTAATCGTTCCCAGAGCCTTGAGCCTATAACACACAAATCAGAATATTGCACTATTAATGTTTTGGCACCACTAAAAAATTGCCAGTACAAACCCCTGGACTCCTGCTGTGTTTTGTCATAGAATTTCAAACCTAATGAAGGGGTTGAATAAATGTGAGACATGTTGGAAGTGAACGCCTCTTCTTGTATATTGGGAATACCTTTGATTGTGTGTGCCCCCTAGCTCTTTAATGTGAGGTACCAGATGTGGAGGTTTCTGACACATACAACAATATCGGTAGTGTTTTCTGGACCCAGGAAATGAGGGGTGAGCACTAATGATGAGTAATGAAAATATCTATTTTTCTTATATATAGGCCCTATCCCTTTGTGCTCTTCTACCCAAAATTCAATGAAGTGGAGATGTGCGTTGATGCCAGAACATTTGGGAATGATGCTCGTTTCATCAGGAGATCCTGTGCACCCAATGCCGAGGTTAATGTCTCCACACCATCCGCACACAGACATCCGTGCCATTATAATTATCTGATGCTTGTTAAGATGATGGTCAAAATTTAAATCGGAACTATTAGCTAGGTCCAATTTTATTTCCAGTCAAATTTTATATACAGATCTCTTGTATTTTAAGTGTTTTTAAAGCAATATTTAGATTATGATGCATTTTGCTAATTTAATATAAACATTTACCACTCGTGTAACTACTTGAAGGAATATATCTTGAAACATTCTTAGTAAAGATGTGTGCAAAAGTGGGATTTGAGTGTCATTTGAGGGGAAAGATGTTTAGGGAAAGGAGGGGTTAAGGGCTTGGGATGACACTGAAGTGTCTTCTAATGCCAGTTTAGTTGGACTTTTGCCACCTTGTCCTTTTCCCTTGTGGGGTTTTTTTTGAGGGGGGGGATTAGATGCTAGGGTGGTTTGTGGAGGCGTAGTCATTGTACAGCCCAACAATTTTCAAGATTATTCAGTCATGTCTACAAAATATAAAGTTAATTCACTTTACAGTAGATTCTGTGAAGAGCTTGAAGACTTGAAAAAGTGCTATATCAAATACAAGGATTATTACTATAAAACACCTTTAAACGCTTTGACACAAGCAGCAATAAATACACTTGCAAGTTCTTTCTCTCTGCCTCCTTCAGCTCCAGGTGGAGTCTGTGCAATGTTTGTAACAACTCATCTTAGTATTTAGCCTTTCAGTCACACAGATGATGTCTCTTTTCTACTCTTATTTCTCCTAGGTATTCAGTTTTACCAGATTCTCCCACTTTACCCCTTTACTTTGCCTCAACATACTGCTGTGAACCTATACATCACAGATTATATTTCACTTATTTCTATGGCAATGGCGGGTTCATTCAGTAATTCGGTTCATCAAAAAAAATGATTGTTGTCCTGGCAAACAGTCTTCTAGATAATTTAGTCATTTACTCCATTCTGGTTCTAGACCTTACTATGATAGCAATGTTTGCCTAGAAAAATGTTCACTAGTCTTGACAGTAATTATGTGTAAAGGCTTGTGATGTTTCAAGTTGTGGGCGCTATATTAATCCTATCAACCAGATCTTGTAAGCCCATTATTTGAGAGCTCCAGACTGCAGCAGGGAAGAGGAACGTTGGTTTAGACCAGTATTCAATAATAAATATTGCAATGGCTACAATTTCCATCTCTTTCCCAGGTACTGCACATGATTGCTGATGGGATGATCCACCTCTGTATATATGCGATTACAAACATCCCAAAGGACAGTGAGGTGACCATTGGCTTTGATTATGAATACAGCAGCTGGTGAGTCTGGTTTGTCCTGTTCTAGCACTTATTAAAATATTGATGTTTAGTAGAAAATATTTATGGTGCCAATCGTCTTATAGCTTACTGGTTACAGAGTGACAGAGTGTTGGCTTCCCAATTGGTTAGAGGTGAATTGAAGTCCCAAGGCTTTCCAAGGCCAATGAAGCAACTTTAAAGGTTTGAGCCACAGGAGTTTCCTGATTTGAACCTGTCTGCCATCACCTGGGGGAGACTGATACCTGATGCAAAAATCCACATGTGATTGGAGAGCTGTATTTGCATGTCTAATCAATTGCAATGGAAAAGCTCTTTTGTTCTTTTGAAATGAGAGGTAGGTGTTTATGTAGTGTAGATGCTGTGTTTTAAGGTTAAAACTGTGGTTGGGTCACCAATTCACCTTGACCAGTCCACCACTTCCTTGTTAGTGTTTCCTGCTCTCAGAATCATGCTAACAGGGTTTTTAAAACCTTAATGGGGTCACATTTTCAATTCCATTGTATCTTAAGTAGTAAGAACGCAGGGTTCATTTAGATGCACCAAACTAAGCATGTGTTGTAAATTCTCTGGGACCCTTCAGTGCATTCAGCAAGTCAGGTTTTTGAAGAGAATTCTCAAATCCAGAGTAGTTTCAAAATCAAAATCCCAGAGCCTTCCCATATCATCTTACACTGTTTGGTAATATATGTGCAATATCTTGTTAGCTATATAAATCTAGCTTCTTGTGCATAGAGATAATAGTCAGTTGAGTCCAGAAGCCTGCATGATAGTTTTCTGGGATTTTTAATTTCTCAATTTGTAGTCACAGTAAAGGTTTATTCTTATACACTCGAGATGATAGTTGATAACTTGCACCCGTGTGCAGTGGAAACTTGTAATTGAATAATTTTGCACTGAATACGCTGTTCAAACGCCCATCAGTTTTAAATTGAACAAACAGACTTTGAAAAAGTTATCTTACTGTTAGAGGTAATAGTGAGTTGCCCACAAGGACATTCAGCTATTGTGTGGCATGTGCTACAGAGTTTGTTGCCACACGTGCACTGTAGTACATGCAGGTACAATTCTCACGTGTGGTATTATGTGGAACACCTGGAAGCTAAGAGCAGTAAGCTGGGTTTTGTTTAAACCTTGTGGAAAATAGAAGCTGATATTTGAGGACGTGTGCTTGTGTTCATAGTCCGTATTCAATTAGTATCTGTAAGGATGGTACGACAGCTTTTCTGCATCATCTCATACAATGGTGGTTGTGTATTTACCCATGTCTGTCAGCTTTTGCACAATATGCACTGTAGGAAACTGATAGGTTATTGCAAACCAAGCTGTTTATAAAGGTTCACTAATGTTATATAATTCTCTTGATAACAGCAAGTATAAAGTTGACTGTGCCTGCCACAAGGGGAACCAGAACTGTCCGGTACAAAAACATAACCAAGGATCTATGGAGCCCCCAGTAGGTGCAGAGACTCGGCGGAGAAAAGCCAGGCGAAAAGAATGGGAGATGGAGTTGGAGCTCAACCATGCTTCGGATGACAACAGCAACCAGCAGCAGGATGAGCAAACAGAGTGCAAAGACCAGGCGGAAGCACCAGCACAGATCCCTGCGAGTGACAGCGAGGTATTTCCATGCAAGCAATAGCTAAATTCTGTGTAGCCCATCAAGAGGTTATTATACTTTTGTGCATTTTTATTGAAAGAAATCTTACAAGCAGGATTTCATACTGAGTCTCTGTCCATTACCTAAGAATAATCCAGTAATGAGGATGGTGGGATTTATGTGTAAACTGCAAAGCTACTGACAACAAACACGAGGACGTGTTTTAAAAAAGAATAGTAATGTTTTATAAAGGAAGAAAGTTTTGTTGAAATAAAATAAATAGAAGCATAGAAACAGGAATAGGCTATTCAGTCCCTCAAACCTATTCCACCATTTTATAAGATTATGGCTGATCTGTATCTCAAGTCCAGTTACCCAACCTTGCCCCATAGTCCTTGATACCCTAACCTAACAAATATCTATCTATCTCCATCTTGAAAATGTGAATGGATCCAGCATCCACAGCTTTTTAGGGCAGAGAGTTCCAGATTTCCACTATCCCGTGGGTGAAAAACTGCCTATTAATTTCACTCCTAAATGGTCTAGCTCTAATTCTAGCATTATGCCCCCTTGATCTGGATTCCCCCACCCACCAGAGGAAATAGTTTCTCTGTACCTACCCTATGGAATCTCTTTATTAATTTAAAAACCACTAACAGCTCACCCCTCAACCTTCTAAACTCAAGGGAATAGAGACCATGTTTATGCAACCTGTCCTCATATAATTTGAGGTTTTCCCATCCTCCCTACATAAAAGGTGGTATATAAATGCAATTTGTTGTTGTGGTTGTGCTGCTGTGAATATTGTATTCAATTTTGGGCTCCCCATAACAAGAAATATGTCATAGAGGTTGAGAGGGTGCAGAGCAGATTCACTGGGATAATACTAACATATGAAGAAAAGCTGCGTAAATTGGGGCTTTTTTAACTGGAGCAAAGGAGATCAGAGACCATCAAACATGAGCTAAGAATCACCTTGCCATTACTTGATATATCTTGTTCTTTCTTCAATCTCTGTGGTGTTCTGCGTGACCACGCTACTAACTTATTTTATTATTCAGAATGCTAAGCTATCTAGTCAGCTTCATTGGTAAAACTATTGATTCTGTGTTTTATAGTTCAGGGTGACCTTAAAAGTCCTGACTAACATGTGGATCTTCACTTGGGAAACAATGATTTTACATGAAACTATTGTATACTTTATAACACAGGGCTGGAAATGTGTGAGCTTAAGCAGTGAATTTAATATAACTGGTTGGTATAGCTGAGTGGCTTTGTTACTTCACAGGGAGAGGCTGTGACTTCATAAAGCCAATGATGTTACCATGGACAGTAAAATGTCACCTTTTTCAGCGCTGGCCACCTCATGTGAGACTGCTTCTGTATAATATTCAATCATTGAGTTTACCTCTTATCCTCTGAACAGGAAGGACTCGTGGATGGAGCTGGAATAAAATTGGAAGAAAACGAGGAGTCGGAGATGGACGAACACCTTCGTGCACAGAATAAACTGGTAAGGAATATGCCAGTGGTAAGTGTGAACATACGGAGGTCTCAGAACTGATAGCAAGGTTTTGTGCTGTGACTGTTGTGTAGAGGTTAACAAATGAAGAAATATGTCGAAGGAATGAAGAAAAATATCTGGAAGAGCTTTGTGCGTATCAGGTAGTCAAGTAATACATGTGTATAGGGCAGTAGCATGAGTGAAACAGACAGAACTGTTAGGTGGTGAGGGGAATTGGAGGAAAGCAAGAGGTGCATTCAATTGAGAGGAAGAACGAGCATTGGCTTTTACAAGCCCTTTTTTGTATATTCTACATAGAGTCGAGATGAGGAAGAATTAATTCTCCAAAGGTGATAATGAGAGTGATAACAATATGCAAGGTACCACCCCAGAATGCCGTAGATGTGAAATCAATTGAGAAGTTTAAGAGAGATGGATAGATGCTTGGGAAGTATGAAAGTTAAGGAAAAGCTGAGAAGTGGGATTACAGGATTGTGGTATGTACGCCATGAAATTGTCTGTGTCAGAATGGCCTCGATGCCCCAAATAACCTTGTATTTATTTCTAATCCTTTTCCTAATTTCTTTGTTCCTGTATTCCAGGTTTAGAAGGGGAGACTTGCACAGGGTTGAGAGAGAGGTTGTCAATATGTGTACAATCGGTGGGTAGGGTGGGGAAAATGGAGGGGGTGGAAAGAAAGCTGTACATTTGTACTGGAGCTCACAAATCATAGAATCATAGAATCGTACAGCACAAAAAGAGGCCATTCGGCCCATCGAGCTTGTGCCGGCTCTTTGAATAGAGCAATTAATGTCAATCCCACTCCCCAGCCCTTTCCCCATAACCATGCAAACCGGTCCTCAAATACCCGTCCACCGCGTTTTTAAAAGTAGTTATCGAATCGGCCTCCACCACCCTTTCAGATTCGAACAACTCGCTGCGTGAAAATAATTCTTCCTACCTCCCCTCTGCTTCTTTTAGAGACTATTTTGAATCTGTGACCTCGAGTCACCGACACACCCACCAGTGGAAACTGTTTTTCCCTTTCTAACCTATCAAATCCCCTCATGAATTTGAGGTCTCTGCTCCAATGAGAATAATCATCGCCTCACAAGCTTTTCCTCATAATCAAGGTCCCTCATTCCTGGTACCATCCTCGTAAATCTCCTCTGCACCCTTTCCAATGCCTTAACATCCTTCCTATAGTGTGGTGCCCAGAACTGGGCGCAGTATTTAACTGAGACGTAACCAGTGTTTTATATAGGTTAATCATAACCTCCTGACTCTTGTACTCTATGCCCCTATTTATAAAGCCTAGAATCCCATATGCTATTTTTACAGCCTTATCTACCTGTCCTGCACCTTCAAGGATTCATTTACTTGCACCCCCAGGTCTCTCTGTTCTTTAAGATTGTATTACCAGCCTGTATTGCCTCCCCTCATTCTTTCTACCAAAATGCATTACTTTGCATTTCTCTACATTGAAATTCACCTGCCATTCACTACCTCACCCCTCACGCTGCTGAAACTCTGGTCCACGCCTTCATCACCTCAAGGCTGGACTATGGGAACTCTCTCCTCGCCGGCCTTCCCGGCCCTCTCTCCACAAGCTGCAGGTCATTCAGAACTCTGCAGCTCGTGTACTGTCTCGCACCAGGCTTCGGGACCACATCACTCCCACCCTCGCTCGCCTCCACTGGCTCCCCATCCCCCAGAGGATCGAATTCAAGATCCTCACCCTCACCTACAAGGCCATTCACGGCCTTGCTCCCTCCTACCTCTCCGACCTACTATCCCCCTACCTACCCGCCCGTACCCTCCGTTCCTCTGGCTCCGGTCTGCTCCACATCCCCCGCCCCAACCGCCCTACTATCGGTGGCCGGGCCTTCAGCCTCTCAGCCCCTAGGCTCTGGAACTCTATCCCCCAGTGCCTTCGCCGCCTCCTCCCTTTCCTCCTTCAAGGCCGGTCTCAAGACCTTTCTCTTTGACCGTGCTTTCAGCTCCCCTCTCGACTCTCTACCCCCTCCTCGCTCCCTCCCTTCCCTCCCCTCACCCTGACCATTTCCCCCCCTGCTCGGGTCCTGACCCAACTGTACAGTGCCTTGGGACGTCCTCCCGACGTGAAAGGCGCTCAATAAATGGAATCTTGTTGTTGCCATGTGTCTGCCCATTTTACCGTTCTGTCTATGTCTTCCTGCAGTTGGCTCCTATCCTTCTCACTGTTTACCACCCTACCTAACTTTGTGTCATCCGCAAATTTGGAAATAGTACTTGCTATACCCAAGTCCAGATTATTTATGTATATTAAGAAGAGCAGTGGTCCTAATACCGATCCCTGGGGGACGCCACTGTACACTTCCCTCCAGTCAGAAAAGCAGCCGTTCACCACAACTCTCTGCTTTCTGTCTCCCATCCAGTTCTGGATCCGCTGCCACTGTCCCTTTTATACAATGGGCTTCTATCTTTCTTACAAGTCTTTCATGTGCCACTTTGTCAAATCCCTTTTGAAAGTCCATATAAACTACATCAACTGCACTACCTTTATCCACCCTCTCCGTTACCTCACCGAAAAATTCTATTAGATTTGTTAGACAAGATTTGCCTTTAACAAATCCGTGCTGGCTGTCCCTAATTAACCCATATTCTTCTAAATGAAGATTTATTCTGTCCTGGATTATAGTCTCCAGGAGTTTCCCCACTACTGATGTTAGGCTGACTGGCCTGTAATTCCCAGGTTTGTCCTTCTGTCCCTTTTTGTACAGGGGAGTCACATTGGCCACTCTCCAGTCCTCTGGCACCACTCCTGTGTCCAACGAAGATTGAAAAGTTGTAGCCAAAGTCTCCGCTATTTGTACCCGTGCCTCCCATAGTAACCTTGGCTGGATCCCGTCCAGACTGGGCGACTTATCTACCTGTAGCTCAGTGGTTAGAGCACTCGCTTTGCAAGCGAGAGACCTGAGTTCAATTCCAGGCAGAGGGCGAAACCTTGGGCAAGTTTCCTTACTCCACACAGAGCCTAATAATAATCCCTCCAAAACCAAAAACAATAATAAATTGGTCATTTTCAATCTACGACTGTTTGTGGGACATTGCTGTGCGCAATTGGCTGCCGCGTTCGCCCACAAATATACAGTCAATTCACTTTACAGTGTGTTCTGTGAAGCGCTTTGGGACGTCCTCCCGACGTGAAAAGCGCTATATCAAATGCAAGGATTATTATTATTATTGCTGTGCGCAATTGGCTGCCGCGTTCGCCCACAAATATACAGTCGATTCACTTTACAGTATATTCTGTGAAGCGCTTTGGGACGTCTAGAAGATGTGAAAAGCGCTATATCAAATGCAAGGATTATTATTATTATTCAGCGCAGTCAACCTTTTCAGTATTTCCTCTTGTTTATACTTATCCTATCCATTTCCTCTACCCTCTCTTCCGATACTGCAGCATTTGGTGCATCCACTTCTTTTGTGAAGACAGGTGCAAAGAATGTTTCCCTTCTTCACTTTAGGCATTCAGTATAGCAACAGGGAATGAACTTGCATTGTCGAGTTCAGGTAATGCAGGTTACTGTGTCGGGTGGCAGTGCATACAGATTACATCTCTATTTTAGTCATAGTAACATAATGCATCTCACAGTTCTGGGCTGCCTGATCTTGCAGATGTTTTATGAAGAGAAAGTATTTCTCCTCTTTATTGATTTCCATTAAGCAAGCACACATAAACAGGGCTGTAATCCTTATTGGAGATGAGGCATTAAGAGCAGAAATGGCACAATCTTCACATGTTTATTACATTCTTTAAGCCCAGATGCTTAACAGCTGGGAGTTCAATATCCTGTCAATTTGTCTCTACACAGGCTGCTTTCAGCAAGCTGCTCAATTACCTATGCTTCATTCAGTTTGATCAGTACGCATCAATTTAGTCAATTAATCCAGTACTGACTTTGGTGATAAGTGGGCCCATTCTGACCTTGCCAATAGCACTTCATTACAAATGAGTAATTAATAGGAGTAATAGCAGTAGCACCTGGGAATTCCTATTTGCTGTACATACGAATGGATGAGATGCTGGGATTGCAGCGATGTGATTATTGGCTTCTTTCTGATATATTGATGTTTATTATACTTCGTAATAATTTACTGCTACTTTGCTGTTTTATCTGTGATTATTAATCTGGGAAACTGATTTATACATACAATTGTAGTTAAATTGATGTCATAGTTTTATTTCATTTTACGTAGAATCATACAGAAGAGAATTGGTTAAGCACCTGAGCATTGAAAACATTGGTGGTTATTGGAAAAGACTTGAAAAGTGGGACTTGTGGGCCAAATGGCCTCCTGTACAGAGGACTTTGGCTTGCACGCTTATTGGGAACAAAGTGTACCAACCTAGTTGCATTGTTTGTGTGTGTGTGTGTGTGTATGTAGGAGCAATGTGCCTCTGTAAGACTGAGTGTAAGTTTGCAGTATTTTCTTCTTGCTGCTATACATAACCCAGATCTGACATAGTGTAAATATCCCTGACCACGATTGGAAGTTGGATTAATCTGCCATAGATTGATGGTGGAAAGGGGATAGTTATTATTCTGTGTTTGTGTGTTCCTGTATTATGCTTGGGACTTGCATCTGCTTGCTCTGGACCTCTTGAGGAATACATTGAAGTAAAGACACTCCCAGCTATCATTTAGTCTCCATATTTCACAGACCCTGATTTTGTTATCCATTCAGAATTGCATGAGAGAAGAAGGGAGCTAATGTTGAATGTAATGGGGAAGGAAAAAATGAGAAGGGAGAACTAAAAATGGGTTGAAATGTATATGTATGAATTTGGAATAATCTTGGGAAACTTAATAGAAACGTGAAGGAAGACTGGGAACCAAATATTGCTGGATATAATATTTTCAGAAGAGGAATACCTAAGGGGAGGAGAGTTGATATTCCTGAGGACATGATCAATGCTTTGGAAAGAGAGGCTACGTTGCAGCTTGTGTTCAGATACAACCAAACTAAGAAATGCTTTAATAGGGGCTCCATAAATAGGTGTTCATTATACAGCGGCATCAGGTGGAAAAATCACATTTAGGCATTTCCAGGAAGTAACCAGGCTGTAATAACCAGTCATCTTAACTAATCATGTTCGTTAAAATGGGGAAGAGCTCCTGCAATGCCTAGCAGGACTATTCTAAATTGCTACATTGCTAGTTAATTCAAGGAAAGGTGTAGTACTTGATTAGGTTTCGTGCAACTAGGGCAGGTTAATAGTTTGAGGGTTACAGAGTTATTAGGAGCCTTTGAATAGACCGAGGGAAACAAAGCATTTAAGTTAATAAGGTAGCAACTGCTCACTGTCTATACCCCCAGAATACTGCTGGAGGTTAGTGATGAAATAACAGTGTTACTGATGACCGTCTTCCAAAAGTTTTGAACCAGGAATAGTATCAAAGGACTGGGGCACTATTAAACATCCTGTTTAATAAGGAGGAACGGATTGAGTAACCAGTTAGTTTTATGTCAAAGTAGGAAAACTGTTAGTGACCACTGTTAGGGAACACTGAACAAGATGGAGGCTAATTGGTGATGGTCAGTATGGATTTATAAAGGGCAGGTCCCACTTGCTAAACTTGCTTTGAATTTGGAGAAAATCCTTATTTTACATGTTATGATTTTTATTAAGTAAAAAAGTTTTATACGTCAAAACTTTCAAAGGACTTTTCATGAATTGTTAACTTTTAATAACTTTTTGTTGGCACACCCTTTAAGATTTGGAAGCTGTTGCCACAAATGACTATTAAAGCCAAGCCAATGCCAATTAGTTTAATTTCCTATAACTTTTGAAACAACAAATTGCGGGAAGATATAAAGTTTTGGAAGATTAGAGCATGGGAATGGGATTAGAGCATGGGAATGGGATTAGACGGATAGTCTTTCTGCACTTTAATTTCTGATTATTTTGATGATGAGTGCAGTAGTGCAATGTATGTGTGCACCAAGTGATTCAGAATTATGCAAAGAAATTGAGTTTGAAATGTTTGCTTAGTGTACAGTTTCTTTTGTGTAGCCTAGGACAGATAGTGGAACTGGCAAACTAGTGGTTGTGGGAAGTAAGGATAAAGGAGGGGGAGGGAAATCAGATGCAAGGGAGAGAAAAAAGACTGTGACAGAGAGCCAAGTAATCATACTACCCAGATTCAGAACTTAGAGATCCGGATCAATGATCCAGATAAGCCATTTTTGTTCCACCCCAGCCACCGGAACTGAACGGTGCATTTGCACCTGGGCAGCTGTGAGAGAAGAGCTTCTTGGGGGTAAGATTCTGATCCTCTGAGTAGTTTGTTTATTGGTTTTTGTTCTGTTTTTGTTTGTTTTTTGACGCTGGTTATTCGCAGTCGCGGGAGCAGCGGAAGATGGAAGCCATCATGCAGGTATTTGAGAACTTAGAGAAGAGAAAGAAAAGGCGGGAGCAAGTGGTGGAGCACAGCACCAGCCATCCCGGTGTGGACACCAGCCCGGAGACTCCCACCACACATGTGGAGGAGGAGAAAGTGGAGCCCGCAGCGGACGAGCCTCTGGCCGCTGGGGCAGGAACACCACAGATTGTGCCTGCGGGGGTTGGCACACGCCGAACTTCACAGCTAGGGGTAAGCAGAGCAATACATCCAAATGGCAAGTGGGCCACAGCAGCGTGAGCAAAAATATTTATTAAGAAATCCTCCGCTCCACCATTGGCGGCCGTGCCTTCAGCCACTACGCCCCGAGGTTCTGGAACTCCTTCCTCACTCCCTTCGCCTCGTCCCCTCTCTTCCTATTTTCAGGTCTTGGCTAAAGACCTTTCTTTTCGACCGCGCCTTTGGTCACCTTCCTGCCCCTGGCACGACCCCGGGATCCGTTACTGTGGAGCGCTCTGAGACGCCGTCCGGCGTGGAGGGCGCTATATAAATCCAAGTTGTTGTTATTTTGCTTCCTCATTAAGCAAAGAAGGTTAGGAATTTCTTTGTGCTTACCGAGTCAGTCCTTATATCAGCTGCCAGCCAAGAGAGTGCGCAGGGCCACTTTACTCCATTGGTTTAGCACTAGTGTTGCTCAAGGTCTAGCCTGTTAAAACAACAAATGGTGCTTGCAGAAATAGTAAGTTAGATAGTCAGTGTTGCTTCCAACTCCCCCACCCACCCCCCAGACACATCAATGGGTGTTAAAATTCATCAGAATGGTGCAAGTTCTACAATAAGAATCTCCCACTTCATGTATGTACAGTATTTCATCAATACACAGTAAACCAGCACCCAGAGGGAACGAAACTTGTCATCAAGCTTCCATGATGTGCTTTTTGACCACATAGATTGGGGAAACAGACCTAACTCCAATTGTGGGAGTGTTAGTGATTTTTGCAAAGCTTGTTTTTAAGAGTGGATCAAAGAGACAATTCCATATGCACTAGGGAAACTTTTGTGTCTATTTCAAATAAACTCAAAACTTTGCAGCAAAACGATGATGGGGAGAAAGTTAGCACCAGTTTCACAAACACGAATGGTTTAGGTTGGGTGTGAAGATTGTGTTAAAGCATGTTTCTGGCACTTCTGAAGATCTGTGTGTGATGTAAGGGTGGATATGATGTGCCAGCTGGCATTGAACTGCAAACTGGTGGTGAAAGCAACAGCTCAGATCTGATCAGCGGAGTTAATTGCCATGCACCTGTGAAAATAATCCTACAACCAAATCATGAATGTAAGAAACCTCTCATAAGCTATATTCTGAACACCAGGAAAGCTACATGTAAACCACAAGAATGTGGGGAAAGTATGGGTAAATAGGACTGCAAGGATTGCTCTTAAAAGAGCCATTGCAGTGGGGTAAATAGCTGCCCTCTGTGCTGTAAATTCTATGGTTTTATGGCAGTAGATACAATACCAGTCTTTTTTTTTTAAAAAAGCACACACATGCCCTCTTGTGGTTATTATAAGTCTTTTGATTTTTCCTGCAATGCACATACTGCATTTGATGTGTTGTGCCGTATTTTACACGTCTGATGTGCTTCAGTATTGGATGAATAGAACAGTCCAGTCTGAATAAAGTGGTTTCTGAACATAGTAAATTCAGAGAACATTTACAACTCTGTAAGCTATAGATCATTGGCATCTGAAAACAAATCCTTTTTTAGAGAACGAAGATGAACCAAAAAGAGGCAATGCCCTATTGTTAGACATGCTTTGGTATGCTTCCTGGTAGCTGGTCATTGGTTGCGAGCCTATAGTTTGGGTTGGCCCATTGGACGTGGTGTTAGCAATGAAATCATGAAGAGGAATAAAGAAAATAAAATGAATATGTATATTTTGAAAAATGCAAACTACTTTGATGGCCTGAAAGTGACTGAGTCTTTGTACTGTAAGGGCTTGATGCAAATATGGGAATATAAGTTCAGTTTGAATACTTAGCTCTGTGCAGCAGATGCTAACCAGTGTTGTGGACTTAACTGATCACACAGGTGAAACATTGTCAGAAATTATCATTTTCCTCTTTGGAAAAGGGATAATTTTTGAAAGGTAACAACAACTTGCATTTATATAGTGCTCTACTTGTAGGGTAGTGTCTTGGAATGCTTAAACTTATTTAAGATCAATGATTGTATAAGAGAGGTTTTTGAAAGCCAGTTTGTTGATGTTGACGTACACCTGGATTTTTATAGAACGTCCAAGAGACCTCAAATTATTATTTTTTAAAAAAGTACTGCACACCAGAATTCTATTTTTGATACCTCTTGAAACTTTTTTTAATTTTATTTTTGAGAAATAAAGAATAGAGCCATGAGCCAATGATCCTCCGTTTACAGTAAAGTGGGTACAGTTCCAGGTAGTTATGATATTCTTATATGTTGTAAATATTAACCAAAGGTAACCAGTATGTAACATTCAAATATCTTAAGCTCTGATGGCTCACTGGGTACAGTGAAACTGAGGCACACAGACATGGAATGTGGTTCCTGGCCTGTGCTGAGGTAGCTGCTCTGGTGGGTGGTGGTTGAAACCTTTTTGTAAAAGTTATCTTAATAAAGCTTCAGCATCCCCCACATCCTGCCCCCCTTTTAAACTTGCCTGAAGACGCTGACTGTCTAGGCTCACACATGAAGGACCACTCATGTCTTCTCCCTCAAGAAAGCAAAGGAAGCATTGAGGATCTAGCAGGGTTGTTCAGTGATGTGTTGGTCTGAGTGACTGAGGTTTTGCACTGCCACATCTCATTGGAAAAGCTGGGAAAGTAAATTTAGCCTTGTCTGTTTTGCCTGGCTCTATCCCACTGGTAAAGGCGACCCAAGTTCCGTAGCTCCTCCCGCCTTGTTTAACAGTTGGACAGATAATGCTTCCATACTGCAGGTGCCATTCATCAAATTGTTTGAGGTTAGAGTGTCTGAAAATGAAACTCAATGAAATGATTTGTTCAAAATGTTGCTGACAGGTTAATTGTGACTTTCAGAATAGAATGTCATCTTCTAATTGTTTCGTTGGTCCAATAAATTCAAACCTTTGGAGCAGATCATGCCATCTTAAAGGTATCAGTGTTTAAACTTTGGCAATACATATTCTCGTATCACTTTCCTGATCTCAGTTATATTTGAGGTTTTATAACTGCATTGTTTTCTTGCTTGATACCACTTTTAATAACGCTCTCCCTTCAATAAATTCAACAAGTCATATAGTCTTTATTGGATTATATATTTGACAGTAAGAACTGAAACTGATTTCAGTCAGTGACCTGGAATACATGGAAGTAAACCAAGTGAGAAGCTTACAACCTTTTTTTTTGAACAGGAGCAAGTTCCAGAGAAACCTGTTAAACCCCCTGCACCAAAACCGACCAAGCCACGACCCAAGAATCGTTTCTCTCGCTATCGTTCCAGCTCAGCACAACGGCTGCGGCGGCAGAGGCAAGCAAGCAGCCAGTCTGAGCCGGCACCAGTGGTGTCTGTGGAGGAAGGGACTTTGGGAGCTGTCACGCTGCAGGACCCCACAGCTGCAGAGGGAGTGGTGAGTGCAGGGGTGCCGGCTGTGGAGAGCACATCGGGGATAGCTGTCATCACTCAAGTAAATCGAACCAACATCAAGTATCCTAAAACCAAACGGGTAAGGCAGGCCATGCTTGCTGACAAGTGATGAAATGGCATGAACGTCCTTCCTGATAACCTACCTGAGCTCTCTTTTATTTCATTTGTCAACCAACCAAATTCGAGCAGAGCTTCTTACCACGGCAGATAAATTCTTCTATACTTCAGCTCGACCACACTGTTCTGTTCAGTGTTGATTTTTAAATAAAAAATTGAACATGGTTATTATTTTTCAGTCACCAGATAATTAAGTCCTTTCAACATTTTTGAGTCCTAAAAATTACTTAACAGAAAGAGGCCTTCATTGAGCCTATGTTGTTGCTCTCATTTGCTTTTTTGCCTGCCAGACTGATACAGTCAGGAAAGACTTGTGTTTCTAACCAATTAAGATGAATCCAGGATGTCTATCTTATATAAACTTAAACTCGGTACCTTGGTCGTTTTCATTGTTTTGTGTGTCTGCAACTTATGTAAATCTCTGTGCATAATTTAACAAATATTTTAGTGGGTTTACAAACAAGAAAGGGTGCAGAGGAGATTTACGAGGATGGTACCAGGAATGAGGGACCTTGGTTATGAGGAAAGGCCAGTGAGGCGAGGATTATTCTCATTGGAGCAGAGAAGGTTACGAGGTGACCTAATAGAGGCCTTCAAAATCATGAGGGGATTTGATAGGTTAGAAAGGGAAAAACTGTTTCCACTGGTGGGTGTGTCGGTGACTCGAGGTCACAGATTCAAAATAGTTAAACAAAACAGAGGGGAGGTGAGAAGACATTTTTTCACGCAGCGACTTGTTCGAATGTGGAATGCATTGCCTGAAACGGTGGTGGAGGCCGATCGATAACAACTTTTAAAAATGCGGTGGATGGGTATTTGAGGAGAACGGGTTTGCAGGGTTATGGGGAAAGGGCTGGGGAGTGGGATTGACATTACGTTGCTCTTTTCAAAAAGCCGGCACAGACTCGATGGGCTGAATGGCCTCTTTTTGTCCAGTATGATTCTATGAAGATGCGCATGAAATTGTTCTCATTTTTATTGTTTTTATATCTTAAAAAAAATGTCCTTGTTTGTCATTTCTTTTCAGTATTTGGTTAGCGAATGGTTAAATGACAAGGTTGAACGACCGGAGTGCCCCTATGATCGACCGCTGCGTATCACAACGGATCCAACAGTATTGGCGACCACACTGAACATGTTGCCAGGTCTGAGTCACAGCCCCCACATCTGCACAACCCCCAAACACTACATCCGCTTTGGCTCCCCTTTCACCCCAGAAAAAAGGAGACAGAGAGTTGTGTGTGATGGCAACTACGGATCTTGCAAAAAGGTAATAATTTGTAACTTAGCTTTGTAACGCTGGATAATTTAACAAATTAAAATGTAATTTGTTGTTGTTGGGCAGGGGGTGCCATTCTGTGCTTCATTACCAGACAAAGTATTGCATTGAAATAAAAATACCAAACTTTAGACTCAAAAGCTAAAGGAATGTTCCACTAGATTTGTTTTTTAGCAAATGTTTCTTTAACAAATCCAACACAGATTTGTTAAAAGGCAAATCAAGTCTAACAAACCTGATAGTTTTTTGATGAAGTAACAGAGAGGGTGGATGAAAGTAGTGCTGTTAATGTAGTTTTTATGGATTTTCAAAAGGCGTTTGATAAAGTGCCACATAAGAGACTTGTAAACAAAATAGAAGCCCACGGTATTAAAGGGACAGTGGCAGCGGATACAGAACAGACTGGGAGACAGAAAGCAGAGAGTGGTGGTGAATGGTTATTTTCTGACTGGAGGGAAGTGTGCAATGATATTGAACAAGGGATTAGTGTTGGGATCACTGCTGTTTTTGATCTATATAAATGACCTGGACTTGGCTGTAGGGAGCACAATTTCCAAGTTTGCAGATAATACTAAGCTAGGAAAAGTAGTAAACAGTGAGGAGGATAGTAGCAGACTGCAAATGGACATAGACAGACTGGTAAAATGGGCAGACAGGGGGCAGATTAAGTTTAATGTAGAGAAATGCAAAGTGATGCATTTTGGGAGGAAGAATGAGGAGAGACAATATAAGCTGATGGTACAATCTTAAAGGGGTGAAGGAACAGAGAGACCTGGGGGTTCATATAAGTAAATTTTTGAAGATGGCAGGACAGGTAGATAAAGCTGTTAAAAAAACATACGGGATACTTGGCTTTATAAATAGGGGCATAGAATACAAAAGTCAGGAAGTTATGATGAACATTTATAAAACACTGGTTAGGCCTCAGCGAGAGACTGTGTTCAGTTCTGGGCACTGCACTTTAGCAAGGCATTGGAGAAGGTGCAAAGTAGATTTACCAGGATGGTACCAGGAGTGAGGGACTTCAGTTATCAGGAGAGGTTAGAGAAGCTAGGATTATTCTCTTGGAGCAGACAAGGTTAAGAGGGGACTCAATAGAAGTTTTAAAAATTATGAGAGGATTCAATAGGATGAACAAGGAGAAACTATTTCCACTGGCGGGTGGATCGGTAACCCAAGGAAACCGATTTAAAATAGTTGTTAAAAGAATCAGAGGGGAGGTGAGGAGAAATGTTTTCACACAGCGAGTTGTTCGGATCTGGAATGCATTGCCTGAAAGGGTGGTGGAAGTCGATTCGATATTCGATAATAACCTTTAAGAGAGAAGTAGATAATTATTTGGGGAGGACAAGTTTGCAGGGCTATGGGGAGAGAGTAGGGGAGAGGGATTGATTTGGAAGCTCTTTTCAAAGAGCCGGCACTAACACGATGGGCTGAATGTCCTCCTTCTGTGTTGTATGATTCTATGATGATAGATTTAATAACAACGAGAAATATTCTTCTGCCAAATTGCTCAAGTAATTTCTCCCTTGTTTGTGTAAAATCTTTCATTAAGGACTTCAGTGTATAAATTGGTCTCTTGGTATTGGGTAACTTTGGCCGAAGGAGCACTCAATTATCTGTTCTTTGACTTGTTGGACCCCATAATCATTGACATAAATGGCAAAGATTGATAATTTCAGTGGAGTCCCATAGCATAGAGTTAGAGTACTTGACTCTCAAGCAAGAGGACCTTGGTTCGATTCCCAGGCAGGGCAAAACGATGGGCAAGTTTCTTACTCCTCACACCTCTATTTTACCTAGCAGTAAATTGAAAGTCGATTGACGGATTGCTTTTCTCGGGGTAATAATCCCTTTTTTTTTAAAAAGTCACTCAATCCACGACTGTTTGTGGGATACTGCTGACCGCAATTGGCTGCTGTGTTTCACCCACAAAAATACAGTCAATTCACTTTACAGTATATTCTGTGAAGCGTTTTGAAACATCTCAAAAACGTGATAAGGCATTATATCAAATGCAAGGTTTATTATTTTTTGAGCATCTTGTAAAAAAAACATTTGTGTGTAATTTTACAGCTGAAAAACCGTCAAAGGACCTTAATTTTAATCTGATCCAAATTTTCTGGTGCTTGGAGTAGTTAACTGATCATTCTTTACTTTGCAAGTAGATGATGACAGATCTTTGGTTAAAAATGCTAAAGAAGTTTAAAGACCTTGTCTGTGTGCCCACGAGGGTCTGTGTGATAATTATCTGTCTTCTAGAACATGGATGGTCATGGATTTAAAGCTTGTTTCAGGATTTGAGTTTATAACTAGGCTGATATTCCAGTGCAATACTGCTTAAGAACATAAGAATTGATAGATGAAAGAAAACCAAGATCCATCCAGTTCACTGTCCACCATCCTGGCAGTCGCATTCACATGTCATATCCCAAACTATGTACTATATCCCCCGATATTATTTCCTAAAATAAATTATGTCATTTGTTTTTGAAAGAATCAACACTTTCTGCTTCCATTGTCTCGCTCGGGAGCCTGTTCCAGACATTTTCTATTCGCTCACTGAAATAATGTTTCCTCAGATTCATTTTGAATTTACCCTCCTTCAATCGCAGGCCATGTCCTCTGGTTCTACTGTTCTGGACAAAATAAAACAACTTATCATGGTCTACATTATCCAGTCCCTTTAGAATCTTAAAAAAACGCTATCTTCCCCGCTCAACCTTCTCTTTTCCAGCGTGAACATGCCCAGTTTACTTAATCACTACTCATAGTCCATTCCTCAATCATTATGGTTGTCCTCTTCTGTATTCTATCAATTGCTGAAGTATCCTTTTTGTACTGCGGCGACCAGGACTACACACAGTATTTCAAGTATGGTCGCACCAATGAGTTATTACCCTAATGTTATCACTATGCCGGAACATTGCATAGAACGAAGTGCCGGCAGTGACAAGTTAAACTGTGGGCTAATCTGCCTGTTATCAGGTATTCAGACTCCTTGACGACGTGATGAACTTATCGGACCATTCATTTAATTGGGAAAAGCAGTAGGATTCCTAAATGCTTTAGGATTGCCTGCAGATTAACATTATAGGTGCAATCCAAATGGACAAATTGTTTTTTTAAAATTGTGAGCGGGGTTGTCAAGAAAATGATGGTGTCAAATTCAATAATGTAGAATGAATGCAGATGCCATCTGGTTGTTAACAACGAGAGTGTTAATTGGATAATGTAAATTATCCAGTTATCCTGTGGCTCAAGCAATCGAGGGCCTCAAGCAAATAAAATCCAAAATTGCACTATTGCAGTACTAGCCAGAGCCTTCTGGAGTGTTCGAAGACCTGAGGCTATAGACATTATGCAGTCCAGAGCGCCAGCAAGATATTTTCCATCTCTTCATTGTTGCTTGTTGGTGATCAGTATGTTCCATATAATTCTTCTTTTGTGGGTCGCACTACTACATCCTAGACTTGCATGCAACAGTATAATTGTATGGTAACCTATATTAATTAACCAATTCTGTTGAATACTTTCAGCGGTGGATAAGACAAGCTATGGACGAAGCCATGGTGCAGAGTCCCCATACGCCAGATGTAGAAACAGAACCGCCAACCTTCTACCAAAGCAGTGATGCCAGTAACCTTCCTGACTTGCCCCCCAACACTGACACACCAATGGGTATGTAGTGCTAACTTAACTGTTTTTGTTCAAAGATAAATTGCTCATTACAATCCAAAATATGTGTCTTAGTCTCTGTATTGCATATTCATGGGAGACTGATATTTTAGGGGTGGGGGGTAGGGAGACTTACCATCTTTTAAACCAAAAACCTATTTTCAGAGACGCATTAAACATTCTGTGACACTAGTCAAAAAGAGAAGGGATTTTCTCCCTGTACGCTGGTCATCAGATTAATTTCTTTTTCATCCCCATGATGGTCTGTGACAACTTGCCAGTGCAAATGGCTAATGCGTATGCCTACTTGATATAGTCACTACACTTGACAGTATCTATGAAACATTTTGACTGTAATCAGGGGGTATGTAAAGTTCTTTCTTGAATCGCTTGTGTGCATTGGCCAACTTTCTGTTCACCATTTAGCTACCACCCGCTTCCATGTTTTCCATTGCTTCCTGAAATGGCAGAAACTTAAGGTTTGAATGGTGCAGTGCATCATTCCTCATCCTCCCCCCCTCACCCCTCTGCTTGGTGTAGCATCTCTGGGCCTTGAAAAGTTGGCCTACTATAGACTTAAAATTAACTGCAGAAAATCAGCTTTCAAATTAAAGTTCAGTATAAAACCATTTTACAAAAAATTATGTAATGATAAATGTTAGGACAATAGTCTTAAGATCATGGGGAATGTTAGGCCTCTGGTGCTTGAATTTATTTTCCCCATTTCCTTGGTTCATTCAGCTTGGTTCATCTATACTCTGTAATCTCTCCCCCAAAATGTTGGATTTTAAGGTGAATTGGACAAAGTAACATGCACTAATCCCCCATACCTCTGCGAGCTTCTAACCCTCTACCAACCTGCCCACTCCCTCCGCTCAGGGGGCTCCAGTCTGCTTCACACACCCGCCTTGCCCGCCCACTCTGCCTCATCCTCTGGAACTCCATCCTGCAGTCCCTCCGCCTCGCCTCTTCCCTTGCCTCCTTCAAGACCCTCCTCTTCGATTGTGCTTTTAGTCACCCTCATTCCACCCGCTCTCCACCCTCCCTGATCCCGTCCCCCAGCTCGGGTCCGAAGCACTGATTGTCCAGTGCCTTGGTACATCCTCTCGAAGTGAAAGGCGCTATACAAATTGTTGCTTATTTGGAATTTTCTGCTAAATATCTGGGGAGGGAAATGCTATTTTTAATAAATTAGTTTGATTGCTTTTCTCCCCCCCCCAGTAAAGAAATATTCTGACAGGCCAAATATTTGTAAATTCGGTCCATTGAATCCAAACTGCAGTTTCATTTGGATTGTTACACAGCGTGCTGGCTTGTAATTGTATAACACGATATCTGATCACTTTGTTCTGCAGAGCTGATAACTCCACTGAAGAAGAGAAAGTCACGGTACCTATCAGACACGAGTGTGAGCGATTTGCCCGGTGGCTGCAGCCCACTGTCTGCACCGGCATCTGTGTCCGACACAGTCATGTCCAGCCCAACAGTGGTGACGCCGTGCACCTTGTTTCCAGGAGAGGAAGAGAAGAAGAATGAATACAGTGTACCGTGCTCTCCCCTTCACTCCCTTGCTGCTAGCCGATGTAATACTCCACTACAGTTTGAGGTAAATAGATCCCTTGTAAAGGGATCGCCTGTAATGAGCCGATTTCCCTTGGTAAACACCAGCTTTTTTTCCCCTTTTTTTTTTCTCTCTCAGAAAATAAAAATGGTGCCACTACACCATAGTTATTTTAAATATGTAATTAAATACACCTTTGTTCTAAGCCAGCTAGAAATACCATGGAAGCTGCTACGTAGATTGCTACTTGGACGCCAGGTAAATTGGATTAAACACTCAGCCCCACTTCATTTGTATTCTCATCTATTTGAAAAATGCCAGTTAATTTGGACAAAAATCTGACTAATCCGGACAGTGTACTGCATGGTGGTCAGCGCTGTGCCTTCACTGTGATTCAGTCTTGAGTGGCTCCATTCAGACTCCATTCAGCAACGAGCGGCTCCGGGATGGAGATTGGGGGGAAATCAATCGCGATTGAGTGGTGGTGGATGCTATCCATTTATGCCTCTTCCCTTCTTGCTGCTGCTCCTCCTCTGCTTGGCAGGAAGGGAAGAGGTAAGAGAATTTTGGTTAACCTTGGACGCTAGTTAATTCGAGCAAAACGTGTGGCCCTGATGTATCTGCCTTAAACACTGTATTGTACTTCAACATAACGGGCAGAGAGCACCTCTTGGTTTAAAATATTGAACCAAGCGTGCTGGGGGGGAGGGGCTGGGTGGGCAGTGTGCCGGGTGTGGTGGTTTGGGGTTGCCTGGGCGGGCAGCGTGCCGGGGGAGGGACAGCTGGGCAGGGAGCGTGTTGGGGGCAGCTGGGAGGGCAGCATGCTAGGGGGGCGCGGGGTGAGGATCATGCAGTGGGCGGCAAGCTGGGGCTGGGCGGGGAGAGTGCTGGGGATGCAGTCGTGTAGAGCGGGGGTGGGACAGCGAGTGGAGGTGGGGTTGTGCTTGTGCTACATGATGAGTTTATCTATTTTTTGATTCTGAAATTCTGTTGTAAGAATCTGTTCATGAATTATTCTTTGTTTCTGTTTAATAGAAAGTTCCCATCTGACACAGCAAAAGCACGCAGAAAAAGCACCTTTTATAGTACAGTATTTTAATTCTTAATTGGTCCTGTTCTTTCCTCTTTCCACCTTTCATATGACCAAAATGATAAGACTTGAATGTGAATAGGTTGTTGTGGTGCTGATTCTACAGAGTGGGCGGGAGCAACTGACTTGAGTAATGGGGTTGATTGAATTGAATTGATTACTGTGCTCTGTTGCAATGAAACTTTGCGGCAACAAAGAAATTAAGCCAGCTAAGAGCAAACTATTTGGCCACAAATTTCACAGCCACCGCACTGACAGTACATGTTGTGAAGCACTTCGATATGTCTCAACGACATGATAGGGTGCTATATCAAATGTATTATATTTCCATTTTATTATAAGTATAATTTGCGACATGAAGACATTGATATTTGAACCTGAAGAGAAATGCTCTGAAAATGTTGGAAGAGCTTTTAAAAAGCCTGTTCACAATAATTCTCTCAAAAAATTTTCCCCTACAATGTTTGATTTGGGTGAAGGATTTTTGATATACATTCCTATATGAGAACTGTATGAATTGAATTCTCACAGCGGAGACGATCTGAAAGCATATTTTAAATGGTATCTGAGGCAATATTTTGAGATTTACAGCTGTGTGCTGTATTTTAAACTAAAAAATCTGCATTTCTTGATATGATACAGCAAATAAATAATAATAATCCTTGTATTTGATATAGCATCTTATCATGTTGTTGAGATGTCTCAAAGCGCTTCACAGAATACACTGCAAAGTTGACTGTATATTTTATGGGCCAACAAATATCTTATACAATGTTCCTTATCTCCTATGTCTCCACTCTTCCCCACGCCCCTCCCTACCCAAAATGAAAGTTGTAATCTTGATTTGTCTCTCCATTAACCAACTGCTGACAGCTTCATTTCACAATGTCAAATTCTTCAACAGTGGGTAAAGGTATATGCATGTTTTCCTCACACTCCAGGTTTGAAGCTATGTAAAGTGCAGTGGTTAGCATTAATCATCCAGGTGGAACATTGGTGAAGAATGTAATACCGTCATTGTGCTCTTGCTTCATAATCAACACGATACACATGGCGGAATGAGCTTGGTTTACAACAACTAGGGTCCTTCACGTAGGGTAGCGTCTCGGAGCACTTGACAGTGGCGGAGTTGATGCCTAGCCAGAGGGAGAGGTGGGGAGAGGTGACCTTAAGCACGTTCAAAAAAGATGGTCTTTAGGCAGGATTTGAACGTGGGCAAGGTGGAGCAATTAATTGAGGGAGAGAGTTCCAGAGTTTTGGGCCGTAGTGGCTGAAGGCAGGAGGAACAAAATAGGATGCTGGAGCCAGTCGAGCAGAGGCAGTAGGTGGTGGAGCAGGGGGTATGCAGATCAGGTAGGCAGGGAGGTGCCAGGGCATGAGGGGATTTAAAAACGTGTGAGAGGATCTTGAAATCGATCCGTTCGGTAATTGGGAGACAGTGGAGCCTGGCAACGACTGGTGTGATGGGGTACAGAGTTTTGTGCAGGTGAATATCCTGGAATTGGAGTTTTGAATTAAGTGAATTTTGTGTGGTGGAGCTGGGGAGACCAGCAAGGGGGGTATTGGAATAGTCTAGCCAGGAAGTGACGAAGGTATGGATGAAGGTTTCGGCTGCATTGGTTGTGAGGTCTCCTGTTTTTTTAATAGTTAAATGCAATTCTCTTTCTCTTCCCCTTTTTCCTCTCTCCTCCCTTGCATTTTCTGCTGCAACAATTCCTCCCAGTTATTTTTTTACCAAAGTTGTACTTGGTCTAATTACCAAGTGTGCTTGTTTCAATACACCTGCCTTTTCCATTAAGAACTTTTAAATGGATCAGACCTATTCTGCACCTGGACATCCATGTAACATATTGGAACCATTCCTTTCAACCAGCATTTACAGTTCTTCAATGTTCTTTTAAATTTCTACAATGGAAAGATGTATTCTCACTTGTACAGGAATGTCAAACTTTATTTCTATCTCACAGGACACCCAATATCTGTCTGAAAAAAATCACTAAATGGTTGAGGCATGCAGGAGCATTTCCAGACTAATTCTACCATTGCTTTTAAAGGTTTGCTGCTCTAGAAATGCTGTGGTTGGCCTGTGTCTTATTAATGCCACGTTATAACAAACGTTCGCTGTTCAACATTGACAGGAAATAATTCTCCCAGATGTTTCATGAAAGGGACAAGGGTAGCTTGTACTTCAGAGGGTTTTAGTAACTTGAGAATTCTCCAGTGCATGGACAAGGATTTACAACAATAACCTCTCTTTCTCCTCTCCCTCCCCATTCCAGACATGCCATCAGCATGGCTTCTGACCCAACAAGGAAATGGTTCTTATTTACATGAAACTCTGTCTAGACTTCCTCGATGGTGCTAGAAATTCCAGCTATGCATTAGCTGTGAAGCACTTTTAGAAGCAGGGTGTCATGTCAGGGAATGTGTGAGCTGATTTTTAATCTTGCTGATGCATTTAAGACTGTTCTAACACCAACTCCCTCACGAAACGCAAGGACTATGTGTTTGGCAGTCTGATTGGTATGGAAGTCATTGTTGGGAAATCAGCATGCAAGCTTACTGACTAGATGTCAGCTGAGCTGAGGGTCGGGCAATTTCCTACAGGGAAGCACGGCGAAACATGATTCCCTTTAACATCCTCCTCTTAGCTCAGAATGGGGCAAAGAGCGACCAGAGCGTGGAAAAAAATGCCTTCTGTCGCAGGTTCCCAATGGCTCAGTGAGTGGATACGATGAACTGTGTAATGAGCTGTTACTGTAAGTGTTGCAGGTTAAGCCCACATTTGCTGACCTCCACTGGTTGGCAATGAGGCACAAAAATTAACAAGCGGAAAGCTAAACCAGCAATTGCTGTACACTAATACCTGTTGGAGCATGCAGGGGCGCAGTCAGGTGTGATGAGGTGTGAAGAGGGCTGTCGCTCACTGTGTTCATGGGAACTAAAGCATGAAACTTCGTAATGGGAGTTTTCAGTACAAGTTCTGAGTCCGAAAGATCGACCCTTGCCAGTAGCCAGGGGTGCGTCATGCTAACCTGTAGCAATCTAACCAAAGCAATGTCCTTTCAGTTATCGGAATTCCACACTTCTGGGTGCTATGTGTTTAGCAATTGGACAGGTTGTACGTCACTATTGGGAATCGTCTAAGTTCAATGATTGTAGATCTCAGCTTAGCACTTGCTTTGCAAGCGAGAGACCTGAGTTCAATTCCAGGCAGGGGGCGAAACCTTGGGCAAGTTTCCTTACTCCACACAGAGCCTAATAATAATCCCTCCAAAACCAAAAACAATAATAAATTGATCATTTCAATCTACGACTGTTTGTGGGACATTGCTGTGCGCAATTGGCTGCCGCGTTCGCCCACAAATATACAGTCAATTCACTTTACAGTGTGTTCTGTGAAGCGCTTTGGGACGTCCTCCTGACGTGAAAAGCGCTATATCAAATACAAGGATTATTATTAATGCAACCCACTTCCGTTGGGCAGCGGACATCACTATTTCTGTCTGATTGAACCTTTACCTGGGCATGAGTGATGAGCCTGCCTCAGGGCTCTCAGATCAGCACTTTCTGTCTTTTAATGCTAGTCTCAGTTCAATCAGGTACATGAACTCAGCACAAAGATGGAAGTTATTAAACTTCTAAACATATTAATGAGAGAAGAATGTTTGTCTTTGGGATGCTGAAATTGCAGCCTTGGAAGCCTTTGAACTGAAGGAGCTGCAGCCTTTTTTGTGTCATGTTGTGGTTCAGATTTGAAAGAGCTTATATTGAAAACAGGATGCGAGTGGAATCGAGAGCAGATGCCTTTCCTCCGGATACAACCCCGTGTACCAAAACACAGCTAATATTAATTTCTTCACTGATCGCTTTTTGTTCCCAGGTAGACGGTTGCGGTTGTTTACATTGGACGTTCTGACGTTGGCCACATGACGGCTTCCTGTCAGGTCCTCAGGGTATATACAGGATGTACTTAGACTCTTAGCAACCTCCGATTAGATAGATGTGTGTGTGTTACCTTGAACTATATTTCATGCACTAATACTGTATAAAGTGAGAATGTTACACATTGTTCCAGGCTTGGCTGAGAAATCATGGGAACTGCTGTAGCATGGGTGAAAGATAGTTTGTGCTTTTGATCTGTGGTATATTGAATGCACGTTTGAAATATATTAATTATGTATTTTCTTAATAGATTGCCACAAGCTGTTTTGTACAGCAAAACTTTGACTTGTTGCTTTTTAAAATTCCACAGGAACTAACATATTCCCCATGTGCAGTGCAAGGCTCCTGGTTGCAGGTTTTAAACACTGATATAGTACAGTGAACATTCCTGATCCAATTCCGTTTGTATTATCAAATGAATCAAATAATCTTCTTAATACTTTGTTTGTTCACCAAAGTTGTTTTATAATTCTGTTCTGCAATACAATTTTATCCTACTTTGTTTTTTTTCCCTGAATTTAATTTCTGTGTCAAATGCACTTTATTGGTTCTGAACAGTGTTTGTCGCTTCACCATATTTTATTCCACAGGTTAGGTGGGAACAGTGGAGTGGTGGATTTAATCTTGGAATGTGCTGGCAAGCTAATGTTGAATTCTTTGCCCTGCTCCTACCTGGTTACAATGCAGACTTAAATGGCTGGTAAACTTGATAGCTTGCCAGAAAAAAAACATTAGTCTGAATCTAATGTAGACTTACATGGGGATGAGGGGAAAAAGAGAATGTGTTTATCTGCTCTGGCACTGAAAATTCCACCAGGTTACTCTCCTGCCCATTGTAAGAAATAAATTGTTTGGAGATTTTCTGGATATTGTGATTCCAACTTCGAACTTTTTGAGATTGCTTCCTCCACCCTTCAGCTATTTTGGTGCTACTTTAAGCAATCTGGGATCTGAATTTATGATTTTTTTAAAAAAAAAGTGTCAATGAGATTGATAAATGTTTAAAGGATCATTTTTTTAAAGTATTTTACTACACAGACTATAGATTGACCAAAGGACTGTGTAGGAGGGTGGTGTCCTGTTCTGATTCTCACCAAATACATGCATAGCTACCTCCAACGGCTGTAAGACCACCAAGGACGTTATTATAGAACCTGAATTTGAGGAATTCTTAACGCAGAAGCTTTATCAGAGTATTGCCGAGCCTGGTGTATGGCTTTAATCTGGCCATGGCGACATCTAGTTTCTGACCTGCTTGGCCCCGGCAGACTCTGGTCTGGACATTGACTCATTGCCATTTTTAATCTTCTAATGCATTTTCATAGACTGAGAACCACTCGGTTTAGTTTTGCATTGTCATTTTATTTTAATAAAGCCTAACATTAAGCCACAGGTTATAATTTTTTCTTGTAGTGCTTTGGTTTACAAACAAGCAAAGGGGAAACAAAAGCTTCCTTTGACTACCAGTTTTGTGAAATCTTCATCTCTCTATGAGAGTTGCATATGATGGGGAAGGAAGAAATGACTTTAACGGTCAATAACTCTTTGGTTTATTCAGTGAGCATTACACCTAGCTTATCGTTGGGTGTAATCGCCACCTTAGTTATTTTCCCATTCTTGTTTTGTTTGTTGGTAAGCTTTCCTCTCCCTCCTTCCCTTCCCACTCCATCTCCTCCATTTGATTTTTTTTAACCCAGTGTTCTGTAGCCTACATGATTATTTACAGTTCTGAGGATATAGTGCCCAAAACTGTGCTGTTTCACTGTACATGTTGTTGCTGTCTGCCCTCGTCTGCGAGTGGATCAACAGCAACTGAGCAGTTGTGGATGTAGAACAGTTGAGAACCCTTGAGATAGAGAGCCAGGGTCTGAGTGCCAGGCTCAGCTCCTTTATAAGGGATTAAGTTCCAACTCTTTCTGGAAGCTATCCTTATGTCCTCTTCCTATCTAGTAGTTCACCTGGAAAGATTTGGTCAGTAAAATTGAATGAGCATTCCAAAGATGTCAATGTTAAAACAGATTAATTAAAATGTTTTGCAACCTTTATATTAAAACTCCATTAACTTGTACCAGCCAATCATGTGCTGGTGTAGAGTGTTGGTGGTGCAATCACTGGCCTCTAAGGACCACTATTTGAGAATTTGGAGGTGACATCGCAACCAAAGAGTTTATTGCAAAATAATTTAATTTTTTTCCCTGTTGAGTTTGTTTGTAACTAAATCAGTTTTACAATAAAAAGTTGTGGCTCTCTTGCTTATGCTTACCCAACGTGTGAGTAGAGTTCTAATAACATGCTTTTCCCTTCTCTTAGAACATTTCCTCTCCTGAGACTTCCCCAGTGCATAGGCCTGAGCCACTTTCACCAGAGGTAGTTATCCCAGTATCTCACTTAGATTAGCAAGGCTGAAGTAAAGCCTTTTTGGCATCTCTCTGTCCCTCTCTCTCTCTCTCTCTCTGATTCCTGCATGACTCTGGTAGTGAGATACCTGGGTGATTTTGTGCATGTCTGATTGAAGTCATTAACCTTGCCAAGTTGTGATTTAGGGTTGGGACTAAATTTAGCAGCAATCGCCTGCAGAGAGAGAGAGTAAAAGAGAGAGAGAAAGAAACGGGGTCACGTCTGTCTGTGTATCTGCAGAGAATTCTAGACTAAAAATAGTAAACGAACCCTCAAAGGAGCTTTGAAGTTGCGATATGTTGCCAGAGCATGAATTAGCCATTTTTAGTAATTTGTACATACTTTCTGGCAACTTATTATTGAATTGTTAATTGCACGATGCATTTGCCATCCACCTGGGTGAGATCTGCAGGTGTATATTGAAAAGGTAGCAGTGAACATTACTATTATAAATGTCACTTGTTTTGTGCCCTTAGGTACACAGTCATGTACCTCAGGGAATTCGAATGTTCCAAATTCAATGAAAATTTGGAAATGCAAATTCCAAAAGTTTAATTATTTGTTTGTTGAAAAACTTAAAACTGACAGGTGAATGCGTCGTGCACCTAGCTCTGATATTTTACCATGTTTCCGGCCCAGGTGATGTCGTAACTGTGGTGCAGGTAAGTGTAACTGGTGAAGTGACTTACCAGTTACATGAAGCTAATTTAGGCTATTCATAGTTTTGATTTCATAAAACCAATTATTTTTAAAACTTAGATTTATATATAGAACGTGCTTTGGTTTGTAACTTGCACCAGGCATCCTTATTTCCATCTTTATCTGTTCAGGCTATGCCACTTTCTCCACCGACCACTAAGTGATTTTTATGTGGTATGTTATCTATAAGTTTGATGGCCACAAATCACTCTCAAGCAGTTAAATTAATTTGTGACAGTCTACAAAACAAACAAAATCATTGACCTTAAATCTAAAAGCAAAATCTGGTTTTAATTCCCAACTAAAGAGGCACTTTCTGAAGATTTCTTGCCCTTATCTCACAGGCCAGTGTAATGGCAGCCTCACCTAGTGGCTTCCATCTTGTACTGCTTTAGTCCATGGCAACTTTAACCAACATTAAATTTAACATGTACAGAAATGAGCATTGTTCCAGCGGTCTACCTCCCAAAGCCTTTTGTGCCGAGGACCTTAAATATTCAAAAATTTCACAAATAGACAACTCAACAGCCCCCTTCCCCCACGATATGGCTGCTCATCAATGCCATAGAAGTAATGCCTTTGAAGTTTCATCCTAGATGGTAAAGTGTTGGGCAAGCTGTTGCCATTAAACAATATTCCTGTTTGGAGGCATACATCAAAGGCTATTTTCCCCACGGTGGATTATTGTCCGAACTGCTCAAGAGGCAAATCATGGTGATAGAGCTCTTTCCACTGCAGGCAACTGTTCTGCTTTTGCTTTGAAGTGGGTCGCTAACTGATGCCTGATGCCACTCTGGTATCTTTTCCCCACTGTATTTCACAGTTGCTTGCAGACCAGATGTAGCCTATGTTCCTGCTGTAGTCTGCAGACATTGATGTTCTGTGGGAGGCGTCTCTGGTGGCAGTCACATGTAGAGTTGAGAGCAAGAAGCAGCAGCTACTCTGTGTATTGACAGCTGTGACCAACTTCATGCACTTCAAAACTCTGACATGGAGTCTTTCCAAATCCTTGGATTAAAAAAGCATTCTCACTAAATATAGTCCACCTAAAGATCATTCTTTGCCCCACCCTCACCACAGTAAAGCATGGTATTTTATCGAGGTTCATCCTACTTATTTAAGAAAGCTAGATCATTAGTCTGTTTTTCATGTAAGTGGCTGCATGGTCTCGTTTGCGCGTTGAATCTGGTGCTTGATCTTTGTTGATACACAGACAGACTCTTGAGATGGGTATTACTTGGAATATAAATTAACCTGCTGCTTTGTGAAGGAGTATTGGCTTCAATTCTCTGTTGTCACCTACATCAATTTATCTCTGTGTGAGTGGTAATAACATTGATTGTGCAGCAATTCTAAATGCCTGCCTAACTGATAAAACATTAACTCTTCATTCACCATGAGGTTGCAAGTATATAAGATGATTCATTTTCACAGATGAGACACAAGGAGTCTAGTGAAGCCAGAATAGCAAGGGAGCAATAACTCAACAGAGCTGAGTTCCCACAACCTGCACTATTTTAAACTGGGAAAACATCAGCAAGTTAAAGGACTGAAATTCCACCTGGTCTTATGTATTCATTGTCATAACATTTAGGATTAGGTTGCATTTTGGAATCATATTCAATCAATTTGGAAGCCACAGATGTTAAAAAGGATTGAGGAAAATTGGTGTCGAGATTAATTGAATTAAAAAATCTTCCAAAATTCTAAATATTCTTAACCTTTAAATCAATGCTTTTAAGATTAAGAATAGATGGAATTTCAGGCCTCAATGGTATTTTCTGACTGGCCTGTTCAATAATAGATTTATATTTATAAATAAATATAGACAATAATAATCAGCAGCCATTATCAGGGAGGTAAGAGAAATGACTGATTTTGTTGTGTGTTCCATAGGAAACTAATTTGATTGCACAAATGCATTTGTTTTTACCTTTTGCAAAGGTGCTTGTAACTAAATTGGAAGCATGCACATACAGTGGAAGGAAACTAGCTGCAGAAACAGCTCATTTTGTTCTCCATGTCTTTCCCTCCCTCCATAGCAAAGAATTTCCAACTTTTTTTTGAACAAAGTAAATACTTTTACTCTGACCTGACTCTCCCTCACATTGTTATCCAGGAGAGCAAACTGTTCTGACTGGAACAGTGATTAGTTTGGCCCTGGGATTGTCAAACCATCACCAGTACTTGCTAGAGGTAGTTTGGAGGTTCAAATGGATGGCTGCATGTTAAGCCATTCAAAACTTGTATCCAGAGTTGCTTTTGATTGTTTGCTCATAAACCAGATAAAACATAAATACTGGAGAGAATGGACATTCAACATTAAATAATGCAAGTGTTTATACAGTAAAAGCAGGAGTTACTGGTTTTAATCTCAAACTCCCAATATTGGCTGCCAGTCACCTTGTGAAAGAATTTGTCTGATCAGTGCTTGCTGATTCAAAGGATTAGTTGTGCCATTAAGTTACATTGATTAAGCATGTGCACTGATCTGTGACTGCACAGCCTGGCTCAGTCGCGTGGTTAAGGCATTGACTTCTGCCCTTAGTCTCCTTTTAGAAAGGGTGAGGGAGGAAAAGAGACTTGTTGATTACATGTCTTTATCACACCTTGTGCTAGGGTGGAAATGGCAGAGTTTGCATTAATACCTGAATTATCAATAATTAAAAGGAGGGGCTGGGCGAGAGGGATAAGAGTGTGACACTTTAAAAAGAATACACCTGCAATTCCCTAGTGAGACAATACTGGCCTTAGGATCATAAATTATCAATGCAACAGAAATTCAGCAATTTAATAGCTAGTTAGTTCAGATTCAGGAACCCTTGTGTCTGATTTGTGAATGGACATGTATTAAACCTGCCATCATACTAACTGAATGCAGGTGACTAGCAAAGCATCAAGTTTACCAATTTGTATTCATTGAAATAGCTTCCCGGGCGCATTTCTTCTATTGTGTGTTACTCTTATCAGCATGACACTGATGGCAAGTGAGATTGTATTGTATACCCACAGTATTGCTGACAATTTCTGGTTGTGGGGATGGAGAAAATAAAAGTTTCATTCGAGCCTGACGATGGGAGAAGTTGGCCCATTTGCTTGCAACCTTGCTTCTGTTTGACTCCAGCCAGCAAATTCTCAATTTATTGACCACTTCAGATGGCCCAACAACCCTAACTGCCAGAACACATTAAACTCAAGCAAAACAACATTTTCTGTTTTATTGGCTCTTCCCTGACAATCCGATGATGTTTGACTTGCCCAGTAGGTGCGATTAAAGGAGTTGAAGATTGTTTCTTTTCTTACCAAAAAGAAACTTCGGGGTATCAGAATGAGAGCTCATCCACATTGTTATTGGACAGGGAGTGTCATTGAGAAACAACCTCCATTTTTATTGAATGGGGGTATCGGTGAGAGATCACCCACATTATGTTTGGATAGGCAGGGGTGTGAGTGAGACCACCCACATTATCAGAAGGGGTATCAGTGAAAGGTTGCCCACATTCATTTATTGGATAGGAAGGAGTATCAATTAGTTTGACATTGTCTATGAACTAGATAATTTACAATTCTGAGATATTCTGAGTTTGAAATCTTACAAATGTTAGTGCAAAGTGGAGAGCTCTGGTGTCCTGGTTGACATTGAAAGGAGTAGCTTCCTTGTCCAAAATGTCCAGTTAGTCCCTGATACTCTGGAATGAGACTGGTGTTGGCTCACACACTGTTTGCAGACTGCCAGCCACCCTCACAGATTGGACAGAGCTATTTCTGTTGCTTTACTTTCAGTACACTCGGTATGTCTGTGATGCTGGATATACCAGCACTAAATAGGGCAGGGTATCTGTGGTTGTTTTGTTTTTAATTTAAACCTAGGGAGAAAAAACATTGCCAGTTTTAAAATAGCTCAATCTGAGCCCAGCAATTGAAGTGGCTGGATCATAGAATGTATTTGAATATTCATGAGGGAGAAGGGAATGAAGGAGTATAGGAGGTAGAGGGCATTAGGAGGAGTGGAGTAGAAACACTAGTATGGACTAGTTAGGCCTAATGCCTTGTCTCCGTAACAGCACTTAATTTTATATAGTGTTGCCCCTCTTCCGCCCCCCCCCCCCCCCCATAGAGAAGGCTCCACCGGTGCTATGGTTCTGATAATGATTGTCAAGTCCACTCTTTCCTATGTGTCAAAGACACAGCAATTTTATAGGTTAAGACTAGGTGAAACTTTGGACCAGGTCTACAAACAAACTTATAATATTATAATATAGATTCGATATAGCAAGCCATTTATTTTACTGTAAATCCTTTTAGCATTTGAAAGACGCTCGAGAAGCCTACCATTTCTCATGGTGTTATCCTTTAGTCCATTCTCTGAAAAAAGGTTTAATTTTAAGGCCATTTTAAAAGAAACTGCAGAAAACTAGTTTCTGAATTAAGACTGATTTTAAGAATTTTTCTAAGCTCCGCATGATCTTAAATTTAAGAAAATAATTGGGCTGAAACTACAATAAATGTTGGATTTCAGAGTGTCTCATAGAGTGGAGACTACACATATAACTATACATTTAATGTGGAAGACTTATTAAAGACTTAGAAATCTAGTTATATTTGCTGTGCTGGTGTTTGAACAGAAGCAGGGTTAAGCCAAATTGAGTTATTTGCCTCGAATTGAATTATTCCCCTCGTCAAGCTCATGCAATTTGCTGTCTCTAACAAATAGTTCCTCCTCTTTTCATTTCAGCCACCTCTTAGAACTGATTATGACCAGTCCAGGACTGGCTTATCAGACCTCTCCCTTCACCCTGGCCTGGACACCCCCCCATTCCAGGTCACGGGGGTCAACGATGTGTCTCTGTCAGATTGCGCTGAACTGCTGTCCAATGCTCCATTAACATTCCCCTGTGACACTGAGGCTGGCATTGCAGGAAAAAGCAGTGACATTCACTCGCCGATCAAGAACACAGAGCAAGCATTCAGGACAGAGTTCAATTTGATATATGCCTGTTCACCTTTGAACTCCAATCTCCGAGATTTGACCCCTACGCACAGGCTGGAGGGACCATACCGAGGACTTGAGAACCGAACCAGTTATGTCAGTGACCGGAAATCTTCCCAGCTGGAGCGAGGGTTTGGGGATACTGTATACAATAGTCTATCGGGAGATTCCTGCTTCACCAAGCAAAGTCTTGGACACCTAGCAGAGACATTACAAGGATCTTTGTCACCACAAGCAGACCGGCAAGCTTTATATCCTGAAGGAAATACAATATCCCAGCAAAACCCACCACAGAAAAAGAAGGCAAGTAACACCATGTATAGTGTCGTGCTCTAATCAATGAATATTGTTGACAGAATTCAAATATTTTTTTAAAATGAGTTGCATTTTTGATGCTCCCAGAATAGGTGAGAATCTGCAGGCCAGGCCACTGGATGATACCAGTGTTCCTGCTTGAAGTGAACTCAATCTAAATTATCAAAAGTCTCTAAGGATGTAATTCCAGCATTAAGAAATAAGGGTATTGAAGGAGAAATTGTTTACAACACAGTAAAATCACTACAAAATCATATCCACCACTGAACTACATATCAGTACTGTAAATGTCAGCGCTGACTGGTGAGTTACTGCTGCCTGCTTTTTGATGTACTAGACAAGACCCCAGCATTAGCTGCTGGATGGCTTCTGCAACTTATCTTAATGATAAGTATATAATCACAATTGTTGGGGACTGAAAAACACCACAAAATGTCTTTGCCCACCTTATATTTAATATACATCACCTTTCATCACAGCAATGTGGCAGCCATCATTCTTCTTTCTTCAACAACAGTCCAATTTGCGAAGAATTTTAATTCTATCTCTGTGTTTGTTTGAAGGGCTGTTGGTTTCTCCCACCCAGTTTGTCTGTACTTTCAGTTACCCATGTGCATAAAACATTCTGACTTACAAGTGTTAAAATTCAAGGCTGTTCCAGCCAGCCCTCAGATTCTCAAAAGCTTATTTAGGTTATGGTGATCAATTCCAAATAGTTTGAGATGTGCAGTTTTGGAGACATTTTTAATGATGTGTTATTCAGTTCTGCACAGTAGATATCTCTGTTTCTGTTGCTGTTTGACAAATTGCTGTGAGGCTGGTTTAGTTAATGAAATTAAAATCTTGGGACGTTTGCACTGGAATAGCAAAGATTTTAAATAAAGGGAATCAATTTAAGGTTTTCAAAATAATGAATGGTTTATATGGTGAAGCATCTTCACTTTGCAGTAACTGGAAGGAAAATGGTCAGACAGTTTCTTTTCTAACAGCATGGTTATAATGGAGTACACCACAAAGGATCAGTTACCAATGACATTCTCTCCATTTATGGAGTATCATCGAGGGGCTCGTTCTTTGTTCTCTATCTCTGCTGTTTTCAACACTGGAAATCAATCTTATCTTTCACTGCCACCTCCTCTCAGCTCCACCTTCATGGTTCTGTACTTTACAGGGTTCATTCTTACCCATCCCAGGATCTCTTCTTTGTCTCCCCGGACAGTCACATGCAGTGTTCCTCAAGGCTCTTATCTTCTTCGCTATCTGTCAGTGCCTTCTCACCTCAGGCACTGATGGCATTAACCTCCATGTGGATTCACACCCCACTTCAAGGAGCCAGTGCAGAACCTTGATGTCTTCCCAACTTTAAACCCCACATCCTGCTAAAGATGTCCAAGCCAAGATTGTCAAATGCCTTAGGACTTCCTCCCGTGACGTGAAAAACGTTGTATAAATGTAATGTTTTGATGTATTGCACATCACGCTCTGACCCACTCAGCTTGCCCCCACAACTGAAACATTGCCCGCCTCCACCACTACCTCAAGGACAAGTGGTGTTTTATTTTCATTTTTTATTGCTGGTGAACCAATAATTTACAGAAACATTCTGTTCGCCCAGTTCAGAAGACACGATGGAAAATAGCCAGTTATCCTGTAATTGTCAAAATAATTCAGTCGCAGCAGTTTAATGTTTCATTCTGGCTTGGAGCTCAGTTACCAAACGTCGCTGTCAAGATTTGATCATATCCCAATTTGTGTAATAGATGATCAGGACAGTACAATACAAATCAAATTTACAATACAAATTTACATTTATACAGCACCTTTCACTTTGAGAGGAGGTCCCGTGGCATTGATGTAGTGGTTCTGTGGATGTTATGCAAGAAACAGTGACACAACTGATACAATCAGATAGTCAATCAGATATGCATCAGATAGTCATTGCAAAACTCCCAAAGGTCACAATGTCATCTGAACTGCAAAGTGTAAAACTATGTTTTACAGAAGATCACGTGGAATCCTATAGCTCAGTGGTTAGAGCACTTGCCTCGCAAGAGAGAGACCTGGGTTGGATTCCTGGCAGGACGACATCTTGGATAATCCCTCAAGAAAAAAAAACAATAATAGATTAGTTACTTCAATCCACGACTTTGTCAGACACTGCTGTGCGCAATTGGCTGCCGCATTTTGCCCACAAATATTACAGTCAATTCACTCTACGGTGTATTCTGTGAAGTGCTTTGAGATGTCTAGAAGATGTGAAAAAGCACTATATCAAATACAAGGATTATTATTATTTTTATTACTTAATTTATGTGTTTCTGGCCTTTTTGGGTAGGTCTGGTTCTTGCGCTGTCTGGCTTTTGGTTTGTTTTTACATTTAGAGCATAGTTTAATCTCTATCACTTCAGGCCCTAAAGCCCTATGAGAACAGTAAACAGCAATGATTGAGTCAAATGGCATTGAGCGCTTTCCCAGGAAAGGAATGTACTTTTAATGTTGAGTTTTCAGCCCCAGGAATGCACTGTTACTTGTAACGCTGTGTGTCTAAACATGATGGAGTGGTTACAGTTGCTCATTGATCTGTCAGGAACTACTTATCATTCCAGTGGCTGCAGTAATGCCCCAAATATACCAGCAAAGCAGGTGAGAGGAATGTGGATGAGCCTGGACCTGAACCATTTGATGTCTGCTCGAGTAAACAAGTGCTGGTTTTGGCTCTTTTGAAGACAGGAACTTGTAATGCTCAATCTATTGGACACCTATCCGTGTTGTCTAAACACAGCTGTGAATTCCTATTGGAAATCTTTGCATTGCTTGAACATGTGACGGAAAAGTGGTTCATAAGAAAGATCTGTACTTCCTTTCCGTCTGTGGAGTTCTACTGAGTTCACCATATTCCAGTGTTTGCTGGGCTTCCACCACCTGCCATGCAACTGCCTCAACTGCTGGACCTCACATCACCCAACCGTTTCAAGCTTGCAGACTGGTTACCGACCAGTGTTACTCTCGAACCAACTGTTAAGAGACCTTGAAAGAATGGTTCTAGGTGACTACATGAACTGTTTTGGCAGAGCCCACAGGGATCCATCTGATCCCTGTATAATACCCACCCTCCAATTCTTTCATTGCAGCATAAATTTGCTTTTTCAATCCAGAGACCTCGCCTCAACTACTCTTCCTGGCACCCTGGTCCTATCTTTAATTACTCTTTAGGTAAAGAGAAACTTCCTCGCATCTGTCCTGAAATTGCCCTTTGCAACTCTAAACCTAGGTCCTCTTGTTCTGCTATATTGATGCATCTTAAAGTATTGATCTGGGTTCAATCATTGTTCATAGCTTCTGAAAGAGGGAAAACTGGTTGTTCTGGATATACGAGGTTCTCCAAACCAGCTAGTCGTTCTTAGATAAAGGAATCTTTTCATTAGTGATCTGCTCTGGACATTTGAAACCATTTACTGCTGTGTTTGTCTATATAACAGCGGTCATGTAATCTCTAATGAATCCAATCCTGTAAGGCACTTTGAGATGTTACTTTCGCATTAAAAGCTGTAAATTATTGTCCCTAGCTTTAGGTCTAATACAGCCCTAGCACTTTTGTCAGTGGAATAAGGTATTGTGGGTTCTGACGTTGTGTGTTTTCCAGGTATCCTTGTTGGAGTATCGGAAGCGACAGCAGGAGGCCAAGGGAAGTGGTTCCAAATCTGACAGCCTGGACCCCTGCAGAACAGCCAGAGGTGGGGGGACCCCAACTCGACGAGGTAGTGACTGCTCTTCTGCACAAACACCGACCAATGGCGACTCTGGAGCCATTTCTCGGTCATCCCACAGGTCTTCATCTCCCCCAAGTGGCTTCTCCTCACCAGTGCACCCCTCAATGCCTCAGATTGAGGATGTTAGTCCAACGGATTCCAACAGCGGCAAGAATGCCACACTATCTGCAACTTCCACCAGCAAAAGTAGAGACAGCATGAGCACCAGGTGGTGAGTGTGACATTTGATTGTCTTCATTACAGCCAGAATCAAGGTTCTGATGATCCAATGTAGTGAATGTAAACCCAGACACGTGGCACGGTGCAGCACTCATGGTGTAAATTTCCACATGATCACACATATTGCATGATTTGGATTACACTGGTGAAAATCTCTCCCGTATTGGTCGCAGCCTTAGTACAAAGTATTGCCTTTTCCTGTATACAGCACCTGGGACGAGGTGGAGCAGGAGATTTACTTCATAAATATTCCCTGTAAATATTCAAACTTTAACTTCCATAAAGTTGCAGAGTTTGCAATCAGCACAAGCTATGTTGCTTCCATTTATAATGTGCTGGCTCCTAATTATCAGATAAATTGTAAAGCTGGCATAGCTGCAGAAAGAGAGGTAAATGGGTGTTTTTAAAGGGCCTCCCATGGCATCACTTGTAGAATATAATCCATTATTCATAATTGATTATGGCACTGCATCCAGTTGAGATTCAGGGACTTTTGTAATTTGGGATGGGGGGGTGTGGGGGGTGAGACAGACCTAAAAGAGGGAAGGAAGAATAAATGAAACTTATTATATAGGAGAGAAACATGCTGCTTGTGTGTTTCTGTTTCAGGATGGTTCCCACTTCGGTAGAACGTTTGCGGGAAGACCGGGGCATGTTGGAACGGGTTCTGAGGAGGGTGGAAATTGGAAGTATAAAGAGGACGGGAGACGAGAGGGGTACTCTGGACCGTGTTTTGCGGAGGGTAGAGACTGGTGCTGCGGACTCGGTCAGGGAGAAAGACACAGGTATGAAATCGTTAATGTGTTAATTTCTAAAATAACATTAGTCCTTTATCTTCACTTAATTTATGTTAGTTACTATCATAGAATAGAGTTTTGCAATGCAATCCCTTAAATGCATGCTTATTGTTAGTTTTAAATTGCAGATTTACTGCTTATTATTTGTGTTTGTACTTGAGCTAAAAGGGGTGTTGGTTCCAGGCACCATCAACCACTTCCAGGGAAGTTAACATGGATGAAATGCTGAGAAAATTTCATTTTACTGTTCCTTCATTTCTGCCTCAATTCCAGTTTTGAACTTTCCTATTGTTTGTTGTTGTTGTTTGAGGCTTTGCTTGTCACGCCAACTATCATCCTGGATGCTTTGAGTGAGGTTTCTAATTTTGTATCAAATTATGGCTAATTTGTACCATATAAGTAGCCACCTCAGACCATTCAACAACAACAACAAAATCACATTTGTATTGTACCTTTCACGTCAGGAGGACGTCCCAATGCCCTAGGATGACTTCCCTACTGAAGAGATACTAAAACATTGCTTCTGACTTTGTGGTAACAGCTTTGTGGAGCTCTTTGATAGAGCAGGGATTATTTTATTTCTCTGTGTGTTGAGAGATGTGGAAGACACAGCATCCCTTGAAGACTAGTTAGTTGCTACAATGTTGTTACCTGCCGAGTCTCACTGTCCACAGGAAAAACTAGTTGTAGCTTAATCCTTTACCCAGGATAAGACAGGTATGTCAGAAAATGGAGTTCGAAAGCATCTCTCCAACTTACCTAGTTGGGAACAGGTTTGGTAGAGTATGCAAATGTTTCATCAGAGTTGGTTTCATCATACTCCCAAGTATCCATTTGGATTCAGGGCAATTTGAATAGGGCTATGAGATGGGGTGCCAGGGCATTGATACTCGCAGCATGTTCCAATTGTGGGACTGTGGAACTCGAAGGGCACCCATTCGCTATTTCTTGTCCAGTTTATATATGGGAACAAAAGTAGGGTATTTGGCCCTTCAAGCCTTCTTCTTCTTTGCCTTGCATGGAGAGTTGACCGATTTCAAAGGTTCATATTCTGACCTCCTCAGTCCCACAATGTGTGGAGAATATCATTGAAGTGAGGAATGAAGAAAGCCCTATAAGGTAGGTAATCTTACTTGTATGTTTAATGCGTTTGAGGAACGGCCTTGAATTAGTCAGGTCACAATTCTCACAACATGCACTCTACCTCCAAAAGTTGCCTGCATCAAATAACCCACTGACTGGGATCTAAAATAGGATCTTTCCAAAGAGGTGGGAAGTACGTACCGAAAGTTGTGAACAGTGTGGGGGGGGGGGGGAATTCCAGGGACTATAACTCTATGTCCCTAAAGTCGTCTGTTTTCCCTTCAAGAAATCACTGTCTGGGGGTTAGGTTCAAATTAGCACTTCTTTGTGTTTTCTATTAGCATATCCCTTTGCGAATAACTTAATTCGGTCACATTTCCCACACCGTTATCTATAGAACATACAAAAGACGAGGCAGGAAAAGGCATTATGTGACTAACGTGCACAAGTTTTGGAGGTGTGGAAGGCATCAATATTTTCAATATTTCCATTTTCACCATCAGTAACCTCTCTCTATACTTTATTTTCAGATTCCATTGATGGTGATGGACTAGAGGCACAAGGCCCTTCTCGCACCAAAGGTTCTCCTATCCATAGCCCTCAGAGATACAGTCACAGCCCTTCCAGATACAACCATCAGGTAATCATGCATGGCACTGGGATAAATTTGTTGTGTTAGTTTGGCTCAGTTGGCACCATTCTCACATCTGAGTTAGAAGGATGTATAGCTCGAAGCCCCTTGTAAGGACTTGAGCACATAATCTAGACTGACACTTCACTAAAATGTTGGAGGTGTTGTGGTTTAATTGAATTAAACCAGTCCTGTGGCCTATTCAAGTGGATGTTAAAGATACTTTATCACTATTTGAAAAGAGATGGGGAGTTAGTTTGTCCTGGTGTCGTAGACAACAATCCTCCAGATAAAATTGGGCAGTCATTTCACGGGAGTTCTTTAGCAGACCTTGCTGCCTCCTATAGAATATAGCGACGACATTTGGTAGTGGTTACTGTGAAGAACCAGCCTCTCCTTGTTTGGCAAGGATTCTTTTTAATGGATGTTTGTGCATAATTGAATTTGTCTTTGTATATGGTATTTTCTAAGATTTTTGCGCACAATAAGATGCTAAATGCTGGGAGTTGAATGCTTACTCATTCTTATCCATATAGTGCCAGCCCTAAGCATTCCCAGGACAGGTGAGATGGGAGTAAATTTCCATATACCCTCACCTCACTATATATATTCTTGTCTATTTGCCCTTTGATTTCTCTTGGTGAAATTGCAGGTTTAGTGGTGTAATGTGGTCAATTAGGGGCAATTTTCTGCTGTGAACCCATTACCTAATGCTACTTTTCACATACGAGTCTTCCAAGTTGGAGCGAAACTTTCATCCCATTCGTCCCAACTGAATTTGAACTTTGACCTCCACTGAGCTACTTAATTTCCCCGTTGCCGGATTCCCATTGTGGGAATTTCCCAAAGGCTCAATAAGTAACACACACTGCTTAGAGTAGAGAGACAGATTTGGGAGTTCCCTAGTTCAGTCCCAGCTCTTGTCCTTGTAGCTGATCTCAGCCAGGGCAGTCATAGGGCACTTACAGTTCATCTCAGCACTCCTTAGATTTGGAGGGGGAGAGAGAGAGAAAGTGTCAATTCATTTCCACTCTTTTTTTGTAACTTTTGTTGAAACATGTACATGCTGGGTGAGGCCTAGACTGGCCTCAACTGTGACGGCAAATGCAGTGAAATAACATGGCAACTTGCCCCTGAATGTCCATTTGTGCATAGGCCTATACACCTTAAGAAGAGAAGTTGGAATAAAGTATTAAATAAAGGGTGGAGGGCAGAGAGGGTTGGAGGGTGGCCGAAGTCACAGTCGAAGTGGAGGGTCTTGAGGCGTACCTTGAAGGAGGCAAGGGAGGGAGCAAGGCAAAGGGATTGTGGGATGGAGTTCCAGAGGGTGGGGCAGGCAGGCTAAAGGAGTGACTGCTGATGGTGGGGCAGGCCAGGCAGGGGACATGGAGCCTGCTGAGCGGAGGGAGTGGACAGATTGATAAGAGGTTAGCAGGTCGAAGAAGTGGGAGGGGGGCAAGGCAATGGAGGGCCTTGAAGATGAGGACGAGAATTTTGAACTTGATCCCCTGAAGGATGGGGAGCCAGTGGAGCTGGGTGAGGGTGGGTGTGATGGGGTCACAGAGCCTGGTGCAGGAGAGGATACAAGTTGCAGGGTTCTGGATGATCTGGAGCTTGGGGAGAGAAGAGCTGGGAAGACCGACAAGCAGGGCGCTGGCATAGTCGATACATAGAATGGAGAGTAGTCCAGGGGCCCATTGAGTTCACTCCACAATCCATCTACCATCCAACACTGTTGGAATCTCTCCTGGTACCATGCCCTCCCAGGGGAGGTTAAAAAAAAAAGCAGATTTATAGTTGTGGGAAGCACTCGTAGTCTCTTGTCAAAATGCACTTTCTTTTAAATGCGAAAACGTTTTTAAATGATGTGTGAAGTCGTGTATTTTTTATAAATGATTTTAATTAGTTTTGATGCTCAGCTCCTACAGGTGCAGTCTGAGGGCCACTCTGGGGAGTCCCACACGCTTCCACAACAGAGCATGTCACCTTACAGAACGCACAGTTCCTCCAATGCTTCCTCAGCTCATGCACAAGGACATGTCTACAGGTCTTCATCCCAAGTTCTGGGGCAGAGTGGATCCCAGAGTCAACCAGATTCCAGTCTCACTGGGGCCCCTCTCTCCACTCTGTATTCCAGTCCGATCCACTCAACATCAGCTGACACCTCTGTGGTCCAGTACGTAGGGAGTTCTGGGTACTACAGCGGCCAACAGCAATCTGCGAGTGTCTTGCACACATTCAGCAACACTCAGCAGAAGACTAATTCAACCAGTTCTCACTCTACCGCTGCTAGCCCACTACAGAACACCACAAAAAGCATAATGACTGACTCCACACATCCCCGGCCCCCGAGCCCTGCAAACGCCACCGCGTCACAGACTGCAAGGCCATGCCAATCTGGTTTACGGACCTTAAATCCAGCAAGTTCGGGGCAACCACTTCACTCTGGAACTAAACTAACCACAGCAGCAAGTTCTCAGCACTACCGCTCAAGTACTGGAGTAGCTCAGTACCAGCCCTCACAGGTCCAATCTACAAGTCTAAGAACACAGCCAAGCACGTACTAGACTTGGCAACATGACAGACCCAGCCATGACCATTTTGGAGATGTTCACCCGGATGTATTGTTCATCACCTGTGCTTGTTTATATAGGGCCACCATCATGGACCATGTGTGGCATTAATTGAAATGTATGGACCTAGAGTTCTGGACATTGGTGGGCTGATACCAGCATTTACTAGATCCCCCACCCCTTCATACTGTACAAAAAATAAATACAGAATTGTGTACCTATTGGTAAGGTACAGGTTAAGCTTATTATTCAGATAAATATTTCCTGCCCCAGTTTATTTTAAATAAACTAGTCACGTGCAGTAAGACTTTTTTAAATCAAAAAGAGCATTTGTAGCATCGGGTATTAAGACAGGGGGATGGAGGGTACAGGTAGGGTGGGGCGAGTTTGTGTAGACAGCCATTCCACGTGCCAGCTTCTCACACTTATACTGTAATATCCTGGAGTAGATTTTATTTATATAATTTTATATATAACCATTCTAGGCTAGCTATTACCTACCTACATTGGCAGAGTTTAATCCACGGTGCTGCGAGGAGTTTTTATTTTACACCTGAAGCTGCAAGTCTCCCAGTGTCGAGACGGGAGCAAGCGAGTGAGGAAGAAAGGAAGGAAAGGTTGTATTTCTAGTGACTGTTACAATCTTAAGATTTTTTTGTTTTATTTTAATTTGATATCTTAAATTCAGGTGTTCGTTCAACTGAAGGGGAAGTGGTCTCCATTTTAAAAAAAGATTAACGTGAAAACTACAGGTTATAAAAAGTGATGCAGTTGTGCTGCATATTGTACAATGGGAATTTAATACTGTTCTTTTATTCAGAACACTCTGTATATACCACAGCTACCTGTTATCCTCAGAGGATTTTGTTGCCCAACTTTGCATTATGTACATTGATTGTTAGATTATTTTTGTGTATAATCTCTTTCTCTCGTGCACCTTTTTTTCTTTTCCTTTATACAACAGAGCTTTCAGTCTCCCCATTGGGCATCAACGTGTGAATTATGGGTTTTATTATTTTGTCCAGGATTATTTTTTCCAATGTGCGATGTGCATGAGGCGAGTTTGATCCCTGAATGTAGCTGTTGACTGAGTTGCACATCATTTACAATCAAGGAGAATTTTTAAAAAAATTAAAAGTAAAACAGTAGCCTTGCTTTCAGAACATGTACAGTCAACCCCTCCTGTGGAGTGTACAAAATAAAACAGTTCATTTCTGCACATATCTCTTTCTTGTATAGATTTATTTTTTTACATTTGGATGGCCCAGGTGATTATCTCTGCCCACTTTTTTCTCCTTCTGTTCGCCTTGCTAATGGGAGATCCCAAAGAGGGATGTAGAAAGCCCTTTGGCATGTTTCACTATTCCTTAGGGAACACCCACCAGCATTTGATGCTGTCTTCCCATTACAGCATTAAATGGTTTCTATCTTGGTCTCAACCCCCTTCATTGTTAACCTGTTCCAGCTATTCCCTTTGAGTAAAGATATACTTTGTTATACCTGTCCAAAACTTTCTCTTCTCAGCTCTGAACTTGTGTTTTCTTGCCGTACTGCCTTTGTGTATCTGAAAGTATTGTTCTGCATTCACATATAGATGGACTACCACCTAGTCTTTACAGACTCTGTTCTTGATCCAGCTGTTGAGTGCACAGGAGGTCCTCCGTCCTATGGATAAGCATCTGGCTTCTCCTGGCAAATAGATTGAGATGGGGAAATCTGTGTAGATGCAAACGTATTAGAGAGCCAGCATGCTCTTCAAATCCCTTCCTCATTTGAAGAGATTGATGTCAATAAGTAATAACATTCTCCAAATTATGTAACATAGTGTCAGGGCTTCTAAATATAGCTTACATCACTTGTACAAATATAGTGATATTTGCTTTCCGAAATTAATTGGATTCAGTTGTAATTTTCAGTGTTATCCATGGTGGTGTGATGTACAGATGAGTACTTTCATTAATAACATTGATGAGAGTGTACTTGCTTCCTCTACTGAAAGAGGATTTCCGTAGTTTTTGAAGTTCGTTCAATATGTGTTTTGTAGTATTGCTTTATTGTTGTTGTTTTAACTTGTATGCATTCAACAAGGTTAAAATGTTATCTTAATGCACATTTATTCCCTAAGAAGTAGGTAATTGGTGATGGACAAAGGATAATGGATCTTCACTTGATTGCAACTGAGCATTGTCAATCTTTTGTCATTGCTGGTCCTATCAATCTAAAAATGATTGCCTTTTCCATCATGAAATGAACTGCTGTGCTCCTTCTGCCATAACTCTTCACTTTACAGTAAATTCTGTGAAACACTGAGACATCTCAACGATGTGATAAGGCGCTATATCAAATGCAAGGATTATTATTATTACAGGAGCAGAGAAGCCAGTGATAGAATGTCTGTTACAGAAGAAGACTGAGAAGAGAGCAATGGTGGCAGATTGCACTCAAAACTCCAGTTAACCTTGCAGCTAAAGCCCTGAAGGGTAGGGTAATTCTAGCTGGACAAGCCACATGAAGCTTGCCATAAAAGGGCTTTCAATGGCAAGCTACATGGTTTTAGCTGATTAAACCCAGTAGTACACAAACACACTAAGGTCCCCAAGCCAACTTGCACTTAATAGTCCCTGGAATTAGGTCAGCACAGAGTACCTTACCCAATTTACCAAGGAGATTTACCAGGATGGAATGAGGAACTTTAGGCAGAGAGACTAGAGAAGCTAGGATTGTTCTCCTTGGAGCAGAGAAGTTTAAGGGGGAGATTTAATAGAGATGTTCAAAATTATGAGGGGAGTTGATGGAGTGAACAGGGAGAAACTGTTTCCACTGGCGGGTGAGTCGATAACCAGAGGACACAGATTTAAGATAGCTGTCAAAAGAACCAAAAGGGAGTTGAGAATGTTTTTCGTACAGTAACTTGTTCAGATCTGGAATGCATTGCCGGAAAGGGTGGTGGAAGTAGATTTGATAACAACTTTTACGAGAGAAGTGGATAGATATTTGAGGGGGACAAATTTGTAAGGCTATGGGGAGAGAGAGCAGGAGATGGGATTAATTTGGACAGCTCTTTCAAGAGCTGCCACAGGCATAATTCTATGATTCCACCATACCATTCCAATCCCGTCACAAGGAAAATTCGATCTGAATGTGGTATATGTACATGGCACTTTTGGGCTGGATATTCTTAAGGACAGTGAAGGATTGATCAGATTAAAGATAATTGACAAGCTTGAAAGTTGACAACTCTTCCCTCTCACAGAGGGATTCAAAGTAAGGAACATCATCTCAAAATTAGTGTTTGGATGGTTAGAAGATGGTCAGGCGCTGACAGCATCAGCATCCAAGGCTGCACTCTCCACCTCTCAAAGCCAGTCAGGAAACTCGGTGTTCTGTTTGACACTGAGCTGTCCTTTCTTCCCCACATCCGCGCCACAATTGGCACTGCCTTCCACCATCTACGGAACATCGCCAGACAACGGCACTATCTCACCCTCACGCTGCTGAAACACTGCTCCACGCCTTTATCACCTCAAGGCTGGACTACGGGAACTCTCTCCTCACCGGCCTTCCCGGCACCTCCCTCCACACTGCAGGTCATTCAGAACTCTGCAGCTTGTGTACTGTCCCGCACCAGACTTCGGGACCACATCACTCCCACCCTCGCCTCCACTGGCTCCCCATCCCCCAGTGCCTTCGCCTTGCTTCCTCCCTTTTCTCCTTCAAGGCCGGTCTCAAGGCTTTTCTCTTCGACCAGGTCTTCAGCTCCTCTCTCGACTCTCTACCCACTCCTCGCTCCCTCCCTACCCTCCCCTCACCCTGACCATTTCCCCCCTGCTCGGGTCCCGACCCAACTGTCCGGCGCCTTGGGACGTTCTCCCGACGTGAAAAGCGCTCTATGAATGCAATCTTGTTGTAGAAGTAAAACTAGGAAATATTTCTTGACACAGAGTTGTAACAATGTGAAACACTATCCCCAAAAGCTATAGAAACTGAAACAATCAGACATGCATATAGGTAAGGGTATTCAGAACAGGGAGAAAAGATTGGAGAAATTGGATTGAAAGGTCTGCTAATAAACTGGTTGAACAGGCTTGATGGGCTGAACGGCCTCATGTTTCTATGCGGTTATAAAGACTCCTGTTTGTCCCTTTACAAAAATGTCAAAATAATTGCAGTTTTAAGGCCCCGTTCTGAATTCCTCTTAATCTAAGGTTTCTTCACTTCCATTCAAGATCCAAATACACAAACCTGCTCCTCCTTTGAGTTTTCCAATGCTACATGCGATGCTTGGGAATGGAAGCAACCTGTTCCTAGGGTTCCACCTAAACTGCTTTGTAAACTGTAGCCTACCACACTCTGTTAATGACACGCTGGAATTCAGAGATATAGGGCTAACTTGCTACTAAAATGGGAATTCCAAAATCTGAGATAAAAGTTAGAAACAATAATAACTTCAGGACGGTACTTGCCCAGTTAGTAATGCCCCACCTATAAGAGCTTTGGCTTGTAGATTGGAAACCGATAGGTTTGTGTTGACCTTTGGGGTTTTGTATTGTAGGATTGAGGACATATTCATGCTGCCTAAGTTTCACCAATGAGCCATTGGTTGGTCCACCATCAATAATACCTTGGAGTACATAATACCTTGGCTTTTCAAGGCATATCTTCTCAGAGACGGTTCATCCCAAAAAGGATCCGAAGTCTCATTTCCCTCCCAAGAAATTTTTAAAAGGCAATTAAAAACCGTGACGTTATGAGGGTTGGCCTGACCGGGGGTCGGGGGTGTTATATATTGGCTTGTAACTAAGTTCATAGCTTCGCATTGAATATGCTGTGAAGAAAAAAAACTTGTCATTTTGTTAACAATCATCTGCTTACAAGTGTTCTGTTGATCAGCCTTGACCTGACCCGTGATATAAAAACATCCACAATAAATATCTTGGTGGAGATGGATAGGAACCGAGGTCAATGCACACTCCACCTCACGGAGCCAGTGCAGAACTGACTGTCTTGTTCATGTCACTTGTCCTTTAAGCCTCACAACTGTTCCCTGTCAGTTCAGCTTCTTTCCCCCCCCCTCCCACCTGCCATTACCTCTGCCACTATCTCTCCCCTCGGGCTATGGAGATCCTTATCATGCTTTTATCATGGCTTGACTATGTCCAGCACCTTGAGATGACCTTGCAATGTGAAAGGTGCTACATAAATGTAATGTTTTAGGAATTGAGATTTTAGGATATGCAACTTAGGTGAGTATTTTGAACTTCAGCGATGCTAGTTTTAGGGGTGACTGGGGAGGTATAAGGGACTGTGTAATTGAGGTCTGGAACAGTGTAACATCATCTTAAAATTATAGCTGAGCTCGTTAGAAATTAGATTTAAAATCCTTTCTTCATTGACAGTTATGAAAATGTGAAATGCATTGCCCTAGAGGGCTGTAGAAATTGAATAAATGGGAAAGTTTAAAAGACATAGAAAGACCAAGTAAGGATATTCAGAAGTTATGGAGAAAGTTGGGGAAATGGGAGTGACAATCCTTGATCTAATCAACTGATGGACTGAATGGTCTTGTGTTTCTAAAAGAAGATGGTGACAATGAACA